ATGGCGTCGCCACTATCCCCATCCCGGTTCAGAGGGTCCACCACATCCGCCGGTATCGTGCCACTCGCAACCGTCATCTGGATCTTGTCTTGCTGCTTTTCCACCGAATGCACCTGATTGGCGTAGTAGTCGTACGTCCGCGCCGCTAGTTTCGGATCCCCGGCGTCGACAAAGACGTTTCGAACAGTAGGAGCTGTAAATGACGTCAATAAACCAATAGCCTGCGACGGATAGAGTATCCTAGTGGAGCATGGTGGATTCCTACCAAAGCATCCCAGATAGGTGATAATCGCCACAAAGCATACGGGTAGCCTCAATTTCGTAGGCGCAAAGTCGGCCGGAAGAGTGAGCAGATTGTACCCCCCCAGTCGAGCCAGGTCTTCCAGGGGCTTGCCCTTCAATGAAGTCATATCGGCCGATCGGCGCGAAAGGCTGGCGAACGTCCTCATCCGACGCAAGGTTCTTTTGCGGGGTGCGTCTGACGATCCAAGCTGGAGGGTCGACCGCATGGTTCGTATGCGTCCGTAGAACTTATCCCGACGTCTGGGAGGATCGTCCCTGGTGGCTGTATGAGACAGACGACTATCAGGAGATCGTTCAGCTACTATGTCGTCAGAAACTGGGATGTCTGGTATATCGCCTGTCGATCTCTTGCTCTGGGGCACACAAACCTGACACCTGACCCCATTCAGCACCCCCGTGAGCACCAAGCGTGTCGTCAACATCCAGCGGCTCAAGACGCAATCTACCGACCAGCTCATTGAACGCTATAACAGCCGCGTGGCGATCCCCTTGTTCCAATGCGTAGCTGTCGTCAAGCGAGGCGGCAAAGTCTGAACTCTGCCTAGATGAGCCCCGTGATCTGTAAGAGCGGGTCTGCCTAAAGGGATTCCCTGGCTTCTCTGTAGCCCGATTGCGGCATGTCGACAAGACACTCGCACTACTGCGCTCTGAACTATGATGTCTGCTAGAGTACGAAGTAGCCCTCTTCAGATCATCGAGATTGACACTGGACTGGGTTGTAGAATGAGACGCCTCCTGAATATCACTGTAGGGATCATGATGAAGACAGTCCTGATCAACCAAGGCAATAGGCATGGACTTGTGTTTCGACGGATCATGGCAGACAGTCACACTAGTTAGATCCGAGCTGAGCGAGTACACCGTCTTGTCACTAACCTTTCTATCGGCATCTCCTGTTAAGAGGTCGCTGGACTGAGTGACCTGAAGCCCGACGGACTGCTGATTCTCTTCATGGCCAGTATCCGTAGAATGATCCTCTTTACAGCCATCTTCCACCACAATAATGGGCTTACCAGACAGACCAGACGACCCTGATTCGAGTCGAAGATGCTGCGACTTGCGTGAGCGAAAGAGCGTTCTGAACCCATTAAGTCTGGAACCTTTGTCTCCTGAACCTAAATTCAAGGCGGGTCTCTTGGGAGCAGCCACATTCTCTGGCAACAAGATTGTATTCCTCCTATTATCGTGGTGCTTTGCTATGTCTCTTGACCCGAGAGAGGCAGCTAGCCCGGCATTCGCCGACGGAAAGGGCGCAGAAAGTGATAGCCTCTGGTCCATGGATCGTTTTAAGCTGTCTCTGGTACATTCCAAGGTATCCATCACTGCAGTAGACGCTGCGCAAGTGATCAGGTATGCTGGAGAAGGAAGATGCAACAATCGTTATAGAGGTGAGTATTAGGTGTGGTGTGGCCTGGCCTGGAGGCTTGTTATGTCAATGTCAGGATCGCTCCTTCCTCTTTTGTCAATGATTCTAAGAACTGGCGAGGAAGGCCTCATTCACCAGGCAGTCTCAGCGAATGGCCGGATTGACCGGGCTGTCCGGAACATGAGTCTAGACATGTGAATGTAAATCACGCAGCTTGAACAGGGAATATACAACGCTAAAGACTGAAGAAGACAAATTTGCTGTTCAATTGCAAAAGTCCATGGTTGCTTGCTATCACAACTGCAACAGCCATGCTCACAAGTAACGATCCACTTCTCACATTGAGCTGGCCACTTTCTACAAATGAAGTTCAATGACAATGTCTAGATGTATTGTGTACACGAGTGCCTTCGTAACAGGGATATAGACCGTTGCGCCATCAAGTACCGTCTACTTTTGCATTTCAAACAAGACGGACAAAAGCCCAAGTGCTCAAATACCAAGAAGCAATATAAGGGGGGAGAACCGTATAATCAAGTAAATAACGTGCAAGTGGGCTTCCGTTGCCAACCAAAGGGGCCCGGGAACCGACACTGGCACGCAAAAACGCCTTTCCATGCAAGTTGTAAGTAAGCGTAGCAGCGCGACAAGCGCAATTACATTGTTCATGATGACTCGTCATTTTCACCCTCCAAAAGGATGTACTGGAGAATATCACTCAATGTCAGGACACCCTTTAGCCGGAAGTTGTCGTCCACCACAACCAGGCGGTGTACACGGGATTTGCGAATCGTGTCGAAAATGGTATCCAGACCATCGTTCAGGGAGCATGTATAGATTCCAGGGAAGTCCTGGCGCAGTGAGCAAGTGTACCAGTAGATTTCTCAAGAATACGGATTCAACATACCGGAGATCGCTTCTTTAATGCCTCGCCCACCGTTAGACTCAAATCATCATAGACACCTCCTTTGATCAGCGTTATCACGTCGACAGCCTCAAAGACGTTGTACACAACACCTGCGATAATCACGAAATCAGTACACATACGTGCGCTCGCCGTAGTATCGCATACCTTCCGTATTGATGATGGGGACACTTGATATGCTCCGTGAGACGAGAATGTGAATCACGTCAATGACAGGTGTATCCATCGATGCGACTGCTATATTGTGATACGAGCCCAGCAAGATCTCACCAAGGGGTTTCCGTAACTTCTGCGTGTCGTTGACGTTGACGGCGACAAATTTCAGGATGCGGTACTGGGTGAGAACACTCAGAACGAGGGCTCGCTCGGTCTGACTGTCAAAAGTAACCAAAGGAATCCTCCTGGCGCGAGACTCGAGCATGCGCCGACAGGCTTCGTAGAGCGGCCGCTCTGGGTCAATAGATATCGTTTCGGGAGGCGCCACATGGAGCGCCTTTTCGACCTCTAGAATGGAATGTCAGCTTGTGTGGGTCCCCTCTGAAAGAGCGCCAGACGCACCTCGTAGACTATCCAAGCGGAATTGATCGATCTGATTCAGAGCCTCGGGGTTCTGGTAGTAGTACTGGATAACATTGATGTAGTCGGAAGTGGTGAGAAGACCGGCAAAGGTCGAGGATGTAGAGTCCCATAGCGGAGCCGAAACGATACCTATATTGTGCATCATTTCCAGTCAGCGATATTGTATTTGCGATGCGCATAGCCCGCGGAGCCGCAGGAAGCTGGTGGGATGAAGACATGCCGTTCTGTATGAGGATATTCAGGCTTTCCTTGACGGACAGCGATGTATCGAACATGATAAGTCGAAAACTGAGCGGAAGGACATCATAGCTGGTACGGACTTTGAGGAAGTTGCGAATGGCACGCTACAAGGATTAAGAGAGACCAGAATCTGATTAGTCAATCCGTTTAATGTGGAAACAATTACGAGCAAGCAGTTGGCAGCCAAGGTCATGGCACATTGGCATTGAGCGCAAGCATGATAGACCCGTAACCATGGCAAACAAAGTGATATAACAGGTTTATGTACGAAGCAGTGCGGACCAAGGAGGGGTAAGGCGCGTTGGACATGAGCGGGGCAAACAGGAAGATTCGAGGGGAAAAAAGCAAGCAACGGGGAGAAGAAAGGAAGAGAAAAGCAAAGCAACTCACTAGGGCCTGACGCTCTTCCCGATCGATCGCCCTTTCGGGCTGAGCGGGGGGCATTGGTTGTGATAGACCTCGCGGCCGGAGAAAGAAGGCGGGATACACGAATCCTCCCTCGTGACCGCGGACAGGACGACGGTCTGGAACAGGAGAGGGAATGGGCGAAGGATAGGATCCGGAGGAGGAAGGCGGGCGAGGGTAAGGCTGAGGTGGAGTGGACCGAGGAGAGGCAGCAAGAGGAGGAGCAGCAGGAGCAACAGCAGCAGCCGTGCTAGTCAGCGCAGTGATGGTGGAGGTGGTCGAGGTGGTCGTTGCAGTGGTAGCAGTAATAGTAGTGGTAGTTGTGGTGGTGGTGGAGGTGTCGTCGGTGATTGAAAGCGGCCGCCCGGAAGTGCTGCTCATTCTGCCCGTGGGGACTACGGGCACCCGCTGGGGAGCTTCCTCCATCTTGATTGCCCAGTGCCGCTACTGTCGTGGGACCGCAAAACACATCCAGTCATTCAGAATGGACGAGACAAAGAAGTTGACTGCGGGTGGAAATGATCTCCCAGGCCTGTAGGATCAACAGCAGCTCGAGGCTTGATGCAGTTGACAGGGGTTATAACCCGCCAGTGCCGCTGGGATAATATGACTAGTATTCCTAGTGATGTGGATAGGCGGGGAGGAAGAGGATCAGTATGGGATGTTGAAGAAGGAGAATGTCTAGGATCATCTGAGAAGACAGCGCGCGACGAATCATGCGCAGGATGCTTAGGTTGATGCATCACATCTCCTGATTAATTAATCTGCCTACTGTACAATCTTAGTTAATTAAGACCCCAGTCGCCTGGATAGTTGCAGGTGAGAGAGTGCACCAGGAACGAGGGGCATCCAAGGCGGACATTGAGGTGTCAGACTTCCGAACAGACTTTCTGACAGGCTGGAGTATGTGCAGTGTGTCATGTTCAGGGTGTGTTTATGTTTACTACATGTTGCAGCATGCCATACCCAGCATATGTACGGAGTATTGCTGCAGCTTTGTTGAGTGATGGGTGGTGGTGGGATCAATGCCTGAGGCAGACACTGCCCCGCCATCCCCACACGTGACAGGCCACTGCGGAGAAAGCTTCGAGTCGCTTGCTTGACTAGCTCCGGTCTCTATTTACGCCGACATCAATGCCTCATTGATGTTATACCCAACAGGATGATACCAAGCAAAAGTTGCTGAGAATATTTGGCCATGTGTCTAATTATACCACAAGTCTAACTGAGAGCTCGAAGAAAACGATGCCAAAGAATTATAAAGGCGTATCTATGCTTTATGCCACAGCCATGCAATCGCCAACGCTCGAAGAACAATGAAAGACTATTTTACCCGAAAGTCGCACAAGATGGGAAGTTTCATGCTGTAGGCTGCGCTCCACCATTCGCCCCCTCCGTCTGAGAGAGACTCGGGCTGGTGCCCGTCTTCAGGTAGTTCTCAATCTCACCAACACGTTTCCCGCCCTGGATCCACCGCTCCTTGTATGCTGCTCGGCGCTGGTCGGCGAGTTTGTTGAGCGTCGGCCAGTAGATCGAATGGTCGTACCGGAACTCGACCTCACCACCCATGGACTTCATCAACTGGCCTGGAGGCACGTGCTGACCCAAGTCCTCGTTGAATTTTAGCTTTTGGCGAGTCAATGGGTCGATGAACGGCGTGATGATCTTGAAGAAACCAAGGATCATGAACGGCACTGAATGCGGTCAGAGAATGTCGTTTGCATAAGATAGGGACAACTCACTGTTGATTACAAGGGCGCGGCCCATTCTCTCCGGGTAGTGGTTCTGCAGAAAGTTGAGGGTCTGCTTGGCCTGGCCGATACTCGCGTTCTGACCCGACTTCGTCTCCTTGTAGTTGACGATCAGTGCCAGCGTCTCCTGGTCCGGGCCCATAAGGTCAATAACGCGCTCAAGCATAAAGACCAAGTGCTGGATCTGGCGGTCGCTCGTTTCTGTGTTCTGGTTCGATGGCAGGAGGTACAGGCATGGGCGCCCGTGAATGTCATATCCCAGAATGACCTGCTTGCCCGTCTCGTTCTCAACGGAGATGTATTCGGCTGTGAGCTTTTCGACGCCGTACTCGCGGCGCCAGGTGAGCGTGCGCTGGAGGCGCGCAATTGCCTCGGAGACATTCCATTTGGTTGCGCGCAGGTACCGCAACAGGCACTCGCGGGTCAGGAACATGCGCTCATCGTCGGTAATGGGGGCGGTAGGAGAATTCTTAGCGGACGTTGTCGGAACCGTGGTCCATTCTGAGACAGCCTTCAGGACATCCTTGTATTTTGCTTGCTGATCGGAGGTGAGCTCGGCCGGGGGTGTGGGCTTGGCCGATTCAAGGGGGCGGGGAAAGGGCTTCTGGATGAGACCGTCGGCGGCGGACAATGGCAATTGAGATTCGAACTCCTCGATTTGCTTGGCTAAATCGGTGGATTCTGCGGGTTTGGTGGTAGTCTCAGGGGTAGCTGCGATCTCAGCAGGATTTGAAGGTGACGGGTCAGAAGGGGTGGTCTGTGAGGCATCGACAGCAGGAGTATTGTCGGCGGGCGCAGCGGCCGGGGGATTAGGAGCGCTCATGATGAAGAGCTTGCTTGGATCTGTTGAATCTAGTGTAGATGAATGTAGTGTAAGTGTCTGCCTTGTCTGAGGGCACCAACTTTATAAACCGCAAGACATCAGCGAATATAATAAAGGGGGAGAACGGCAAGCAGCTTCCCGGGTGTCCTTTTTCACGGCGTAAGATTGAGCAGGGCGGAGTGTTGATCGGCAGGCCCACCGATCGTCAGTTGCAAACCTCCGATGGATTAATCAATTGCAGTCAAAGAATACGTGGTTCCGCGGGTCGTGCTGCGGTCTCATTTCGGCAGGCGGTCACACCAACCAATTTGCGCGTCTCACGCGTCGCGCGTCATTGCATTTCCGATAGAGAGCCATATTGGTTACTATCCATACTCATCAATAAGCCAGGGTGCCAGTCAACATGGAGGACCCTGTCGCAGAGCTCAATGAGCTCTTTGCCGCCGCTGCTCCAGATGGCCTACCCAAGGATGTACTCACCGAATTGCAGTCAATCCTGCGCATCCATTCCATCTCCGCGCAGGAGCTCTTCTACAAATGGGAGTCTTACTGTCTGAAGATGGGCCCAGATGAGCTGAAGATGGACCTGGGTACCGTGCGACTGTTCAAGAAAGATGTGCAGGATACATTGGAGCGAGAAGCCCGCGGCAAAGCAGGCCGACAGATGGAGAGGAAACCAGCAGTGCCGGCCACCCCGCGCGCTGCTACGTCAGATGTGTTTGGCATGTACGTTGAGTAAAATTGGATCGATGGACCAAAGCTAACGACTCAGGCTTGATGGATTAACACCAGGTGCTTCTGGTCGGAGCAATGCCGGTTCAGCCAAGCGGAAATCCGACTTTGCTTCGCCATCAATCTCTAAGATCGGGAGAACCGAACACAATGGATCTCCGATGAGTACCAGTGTGAAACAGACAAACGGTGATGGGCTACAGTACGTGCGCGAATCGCTAGAGGTGATTTCAACTGACGAAGCAGATCCATCCCATTTTCCCAGCGCCAAAATGCAGGCGAAACCATCGAAACCATCAACTCCCATCTCCCACAAGCAGAGGCCCCTATCGCGCCATACTCCGAAGCCCGCATACGACCGACGGCGAACACTGACCTGAAGAAGTTCGGATACAAGCCTATGGCCATGCGACTGGCCGAGGCATCGGAGATCTTGGACGACCGCATCGACGAATTCATGGCATTGTTCGAGAAACAGTACGGCAGCGACGAGATCACATTCGGCAGTGCTGCTACGCAGAGCACAAGCGAGATCGTGGCCGTCGGCCGCATCGCGTCTGACAGTATGGAAGGAAAACTCAACACGGCGTCACTCGTGCTCGAGACGTCCAGACGTACAGGAGCAGGCATCCGTGTTCCACTGAAACTCGAATCCGTGCCATCCGCCAACTTCTTCCCGGGCCAGATCGTGGCGCTGCGCGGCATCAATGCGTCCGGCAACTACTTCTCCGTCAAAGAGGTCCTCCCCACACCCCTTCTTCCACCGGCCGCCTCGTCAGTCGTCAACCTCGAAACCATCAACCAGAGACTCGAAGACGCTGGCTCAGCGCCCTTGAACGTCCTCGTCGCTGCTGGCCCGTACACAGCAGACGATAACCTCGAATACGAGCCACTAAAAGAGATCTGCCGCAAGGCAGCAGACAGCTACGCGGATGGCCTCGTCCTGCTGGGGCCCTTCCTGGACATCGAGCATCCCCTGCTGGCCTCGGGGGATTTCGATCTGCCCGAGATCAACGGCGTGGACCCGGACACGGTGACGCTGACGACGGTATTCCGGCACTGCATCTCAGCGCCGCTACAGCGACTTGTGGCAGCTGTGCCCAGCATCACGATCGTGCTGGTGCCGTCTGTCCGCGACGCAGTCAGCAAGCACGTCTCTTGGCCGCAGGAGCAGCTACCCAAGAAGGAGCTGGGCCTGCCGAAGCAGGTGCGCATGGTGTCCAACCCGGTCACTTTGTCACTGAACGAGACGGTCATTGGGATGTGCTCGCACGATGTACTGTACGAGCTGCGACGCGAGGAGGTACTCCACGGCAAACCAACGGAGGGGAACCTCCTGACAAGACTGCCAAAATATATGATCGAGCAGCGACACTTCCAGCCGATGTTTCCGACATCGAGCAGAGACATGCTGCCACGAGCGGGGACCGGCCTTGCAACGGGGGGGATGGTCGATGTGAGCTATTCAAAGCTGGGCGAGTGGTGGAATGTGCGGCCGGACGTGTTGATAACGCCGAGCATGCTGCCGCCGTTTGTTAAGGTCAGCCCCCACACCCAGTAATACGTATAATCTATTATAATGCTAATAACCAAACAGGTAGTGGACAGCGTAACCGTGATCAACCCCGGCACGCTCTCCAAGCGCCGCGGCGCAGGCACATACGCACAGATGGCGATCCAGCCACGACGCATAGAAGACGACGAGAGGGAGCAGAAGCAGGTCAGCCATAAATTGTATGAACGGGCCCGGGTAGACATAATACGGATATAGCGCAGCATAGCGCAGCGCAGCATAGCAACATAGCAGCAGCAGTAGTATACATGATAATGATGATTCCACGAAGACTCCTCCCATCCCTTACCCATACCCCTAAAAACACAACGAACGCAGGGTATAACAGCCTAGCCTAGCCTAGCCATAACAATAACCATAACACCATCCCATCCATCCCATTGGTATCCTATCCTCCCTTATCACCCACCCCATGCATCCTACCTCCCATCCCCATCCCCTCCCAGAAAAAACAACGAAGTAAAAGAGAAAAACAAATCACCTCAAACAAACCCCCCTCCTCCTCCCCCCCATCAACCTCCCCTCCCCCCTAACCCTCACCTTCGCCCCCGGCCCTGCCCCTACAGCCTCTCCCCCCGATCCCCCCGTCCCACTGACCAACCCCTCCAATCCCAAATCCCTCCAGGCCCCCTCCCCCCTCCTCCCCTGCAACGCCATAGCCCTCGCAATCCCAAACGCGGCGTGTTGATCAGGAACCACATCGTCTTCGTCCTCCGGGTTGGGAGGCTGATACTGCGGCGGGATGTAGATGTCTTCGATGGGGAGGAAGGAGGGCGTGAGGGTCGGGGAGGTGCCGGTGCCGCCGGTGCCGCCGCCGGTGGCTGCTGCTGCTGCTGCTGTTGTTGTGAAGGCTTGGGTTGTGGTGGATGATGTGTAGGGGGAGGAAGAGGAAGTGGTGTGGTGGTGTGGGCGCGTGAAATCTTCGAAGTAGTCTGCTAGTCGGGGGTGGTGCATGTGGAGGTGGGTGGGGGTGGAGTCTTTGCTCTGTAGGTTATAATTTTCGTATGGGTTAGTTTGGGGGGTAAGTGGTTGGGGTGTATGGGGGGGAGGGGGTTTGGTGGTGGTGGTGAGGGGATAAGTTGGGATGGAATGGGATGAAGGGGACGTACCATTTTGGAGGGAGGATGTGGGTTGAAGACTGAAGTGGATGTGGTGAGTTGAGTACGTAGTTTGTGTGCGCAGTGTATTGTGAAATGTTATTATTGTGGATTGGTTGAGATGTATTGTGTTGGTAGTTGGTAGTCGGTAGTTTGTTGTGAGTTGTGTTTGAGAAGTGGTGTTGCGATAAGCATTTACGGAATTGAATCAGAATCACCGCTTTCATCTCCAACTACGAATCATATCCACTCACAAGTAAACCACATTGCAACCATTATCTACCTAATAACTGAAACCTACATATTCGTACTCATCCGATGCACTATAGGTACTGCACTCGGCGGCAAACTGCCCATCTCCGTCACCACCATATCCACATACTCCGCCGGCGTCACATCATACATGATATTCAGCAGCTGCAGATTCGCCGACTCCTTCCAGTCCTCCAGCGGCGACGACTTGCTCTGTGCCGCCGTGCTCGTCTCCACCGGCGCAGTGCTAGCTTTGCCGCCCTTCTTGGGCTCTACGGCCGGCTGCGCCGCGGGATCCGGCAACCCGGTCAGTTGCTGCACCGGCTCGACCGTCACCAGCTCGTCGGCGTCCGCAATCTCGTTCACGACGATACTGTCCAGCGCAACGCGGTCCGTGAATTTGACTGTCTCGCAGCATACGATGACAGGAACTTCAACGCCACCGGCGCGTTCCTTGGCCGACATAGCGACCAGCGCGGTGCCGACGCGCGAGTACAGGCGACCGTTACTGGTCATGGCGTGGGCGCCCAGGAAAACCTTGGTAGCGTCTTTGATGGCGTGGCTGATGCCGTTCATGAGGGAGTATTGCACGTCCAGACCGGCGTTGGCGAGCGTGCGCGCCAGGTTCTTACCCTCGAACAGTGGCCGCGAATCGATGATGGAGACGCGGAATTGCTTGCCCTCCTTGTGTGCCGCCAACAGCGTCTGCTTCACGATCGAGCTGCCTGCAAATGTCACGATCACGTCTCCATCCTGAATCTTCTGTGCTGCGCTGCCGGCAATGACCTGGTCGGCGACGGTGATCTTCTCGCGGATGAAGCTGTCGATGAAATCGCACAGCGAGGCCTTGGCGGTAGCTTCGGGGACGGAGGGATCGATGGAGGAGATGGCGAGCTTGAGGGCGCGGATAGCGTTACCCTGACTGATGGACAGGGGACGACACGTGGAGAGGTAGGTAATCTGGTGAGAGAGGTGAGTAGTCAAGTGGCGGGCGAGCGAGGTGCCCAGGGGGGTAGTATAAGCTTCGATGACCTGACAAACGTTAGCACATCACAGCACACAGCCAAACTCCAGAATAGAAAGATATACCCTCTTGAAAGCCAACAACGTAGCAACACATCTAGCACTACTACCACAAACCACATAGTCTCTCATCTGCATGCCCAGCGCCAAAACCGCCGGATGCACCTCCTTTCCAGCGCCAGCAATCGTAGTCCTGCGCTGCTGACCATACAAATGTCCAAAGACCGAAACATTCTTCTCCTCCTGCTTCTTCTTCAACTCCGCCGCACTCGGCTGGCCCGTCGCCTGCGCCGAACCGCGACGAGGCAGCTGCTTCTGATGACCACCCTTCTGCGGCGTCGCAGCACCAGAAGCATCTTTCCCACCAGCCCCAGCACCACCGGGACCCGACGCGCCCTTCTTCCCACCAGCAGCCGACTGACCCCCTCCGGGCGCAGCAGCACCAGCACCACCGGATTGTTCCCGTTCGGCGCGTTCGCGGGCGCGACGGGCGGCCTTTTCGGCTTTGGCTTTCTTCTTCAATTCGGCGGGGGAGAGCGCGGCGCCATCTCCACCAGTGGCGGCAGCATCCTTTCCTTTAGGCTGTGATTGTTGCTGTTGTGGTTGTTGCTTGGCGGGCTGTGATTGCTGCGGTTTAGCGGGCTTAGCGGAGGCGTTGGCGCCGGCGGCAGCAGCAGCGGCAGCGCCTGGGGATGATGATGAGGATTGCTGGGATTGCATTTCAGCCGGGGGTTGTGAGGAGTCAACGGGGGTCGCCATTATGAGAGGTGATGTGTAGTCGAAGGAAGGAGGGGGAGTATCGAGGCGATCGGGAGGGGCATTGGAGACTTTTTCGGCGGAGGAGGAAGTGGAAGAAGAAGTGGATGTTGTGGGGGGAGCCGGCGATGAAACCCGTTCCCGTCGTTGACTCACGCTTTGCTGCTGCTGCTGCTGCTGCTGCTGCTGCTTCACATAAGCTGCTGTTACCACCACGAGAATTCCCACGTATTGCACCACGGTGCTTCCCAGTGTGAGGAGTATCTCTAGGAGTATCATTCCACCGTGTTACTTCACCTCACTGGTCAAGGTTTCTGTGGTGGTTGGAAGTGGAGTCATCAGGGCTGGAAACCGGACCTCACCGTCGATAACTAGGAATTGCTTTACAGACCATTCACCTATTTATCTATGACAACTTCATGTATCAAGGTATACTAACTATAGCAGGTACCTGAGTCAGAGCTGGGCAGACATTCTATCAAGCCACAGCCGATGTGCATCGACTAATCACAAGGTTTCATGGTATTCGGGCATCAAGCATCCTTGTCATCCTACCATACAATCATGTCATCGTGCCGGAAAAGTAAAAGCTAAAGGCCAGAAAAGAAGAAAAAAGCAGCAAAGATATCATCGCAGCGAGACGCAGTTCAAATCAAACCAGCGTCTCCAACTATGTGCATCCAAAGTAATCCATCCAACGCCATAATCACAAAGCCACCCACGCTACCCAGACCAGTCCCATTCCATTCTATTCACGAAGTTGTCCATTTATCGATTGTTGACCCAAACATTGCCCAGCGCTCGTCGTCGCTTTCGTCCTTCAGGCTTCCAGCTGGGTCGAAATCGTTCGTGGTCCGTCGCTATCTTGCGCTTGAACATGCTCAGGTCGTCCAAAAGGTTCTCCATATGCGTCTGCATTTCTTGTGCCTCCACATGGTTGGCCTCGCTTTGCATTGTGTCTTCATCTTCCCAAATGAGGTCCGGCTCGGGTTCGGGCTCAACGTCGGACGGAGGCGATCGGGCACGGCTGAGCCGCTTGCGATTGGACGGGGAGCCATCGTTCTCATTCACACTGTATAAGCCACTCCGGCGCTTATGCACCACCACCGGAGGGATCGGATTTCGGATACTGTCCAAGGCCAGCTTGAGGTGGTTCCGCAGGGCCTCATTCTCCGTCTGCAGCTGCCGGATCTTACACTCACTCACCATCTTCGTCTCCTCCATTAGTCGCTGGAGCTTCTCCACCTTCTGCTGATAATCTTCGAGGCGCTCATTCTGCATCTCATTCTCCCGTCGGTTGGCTGCGGCCAGGCTGACACTCAGCTGAAGCGTGCGGATCGTTTCCGCCATTTCAGCGATCTGTTTATCACGTTCGGCAGCGGAGAGGTGGTCCTGGTTAACTCGGGCGCGTGTTCGGATGCGCTTGGCCTGGTCTGCATATCGTAGGGTGGAGAGCGTTTCCTCGTAGTCACTGGGAGAAATACATGCTATCATCGCCGTCTTCGAGTTGCCCCCGAGACTATCTTTCAGCAGCCAGGTCAGGATCGAGTCGCGATACGGGACCACATCCTTGCCCTTGCGTTTGCCTCCGCGACCCGGCTTGGGATCTGCCAGTGCGGCAATGACTCGGCCCAGTGTGGTCAAGGACTTGTTGATGTTGGACCCCTCGCGCAGTCGTTGACCGGTTGCTTCCGTGGACTTGGCTCGTTCTGAACCTGCCAGATCAACGAGACGTATTCGCGCTGTGCGCTCAGTGGTTTCATCGGTCGAAAGGTCGTGGTGGATCTGCTTCAGAGTAATAGTAAACACTGCGTGTGACCGGGACGACGTATCGTTCATCTTAGTGCTGGCCACAGTGCGCGATACATCTCCCTTGCGCATGAACTTCATGAGCTCGTCGAAGCTCTTGACCGTCACCTCTGTTAGGTCCTTGACGTACGGGCCTTCCAACGGGGACTCCCGAATACGAAGGTAGTGCGGCGGGTCGCTCCGAGGGACCAGCAGATCGCGCACATGTTCATTGTAGACTTCAAAGTAGGAGACGCGCACGTTGAAACTAATATCCGGAGATTCGGCGCTTTCGATACGTTGGAACAAATCTTCGCAGGTCCGAGGGATCAATCCAGGCGCTTCCGGTGTGCCCATCATGGTATAACTCTTGCCAGAACCCGTCTGGCCATAGGCGAATATGCAGGTGTGGTATCCTTCGAAGTTGTGGTCCAAAAACTCTTCTCCCAAACAGTTGTAGACGTCTTCCTGGTGGGCGTAGTGGGGGTCCCTTTCGTTATGCGACCAGAAAGAGTTGTCAAAGACAAATGATTTATCCTCCAACACCTTTCCGCGCGCCTGCGATTTAGGCTTCCCTTCGTCTTCTGGGCTTATCTGGGGCGCTCGAAGTTTGGTCGTCTGCGTATGCGGGTCCATGCTGATCAGACATTCGGCATTGCGGTTAATCTCTATGCTCCCAAGTATGGGATGACTGTCAGCTTCCATCCGTAATACTCTTTACCGTTCAGCCAGACGTACCTCTGGGAAGGAACTTTCTCACACGGACGACAACGCGCACGTTGCCGCCGCCGCCGGAAGGACTAGACATGCTGTCGACTCGGTGGTGGGCAGACACGGCCACGCCCTCGCGTGCGCGCAGTGACGGACTGGACGCGGTTGATCGTAAGGTAGCGGCGGAGGCAGTCATCGAATGGGCCGAGGGACTGGTGATGCCGGTTATCGCGGAGATCCCGGAGGACGAGGCGGAGGATTGGGAGCCAGGCCCGGAGCCGTGGCCGATATGGTGGTAGAAACGGGGGTCCAGGGACATTTCGTGACCGTGATCCCTCAAAAACTGTACAAACTGAGTGAGGTGCTCACGATGGCGTTGAAGTAGGCAATGGTACATACAGGCAACTGTACCACCGGATGGTAGGGACCGTGGCGGGCTCTTTTTCTTATCGAGGAGGGATCGATATTAAGGGTATGGGTGGTGGCTGCTGGGTTAGTGGACCCAAGAATGGGCGTAGTGCTCGCCCTCCAAAGGGGGAACTAAACAAGGAGGATATCCAGAATGTATATGCTTGCGCGGACCGTCCGTCTGCAAGTTCAATTGACATCCGGCACTAGACAACAGAGCGATTCCACTCTCGACATGGGGTAAACAGTCGGGCAGTCGGGGGTTTCGGGAAAGCTCCTGCGATGGAAGGTGAAAGAGAGAAACATGCAGTGACACGCAAGGGGATGGAAGACAGTACACACTCCCCCCTCTCAAAGAAGGTCCACGGGGAGATGCAGCGATTGAGGAGGGACCAGAAGCAACAATCGAGAACTGGGGGGAAGTTTGATCGTGGGGAGTTCAGATGAATGAATCGCATCGCCATGACCTCGTTTGGGGATTACCCGATCGGGAATAGCAGGCAGCCTGAGGCAGCGCATAGACCTTCTGGCAGCGGGTGGTTGCCATGGCAATTCTACAGACAGCCAGGGACACGAGCTCACGATAAGAAAGACTACTGCTGTGTTCGGAGAGACACAGACCGCCGAGGATGCAAGGATATGTCTCGATTGCATACAATCTGATTGTTTCGGTTGGTCCGGTGGTCAAGGAGTGCACCACCGGGAAATTACTAGCACTATCCACATTTACACATTGCATGCACTCATGTCTCAGCATCCACCGCTCTTGTCCTGCAAAGAGTGACTGACAGCATCGAACATTCCGCATGGTCTCATATCATATAGCCGCGTTGCTCCCTCTATGGACGCCTCCAGCGTCATCATTCCCACCGGGCTGGACTTAGTCGAAGTCCTCATTTGCGGCCTCGAAGACATCTCCTTCGTCTGGGCCTTGTCGTCCCTTTCTCATTTTGTCCACGTCGATATAGGAATCATTGGGCACTGGGTTGCCGTTCCTATCCAACGTTGTTTCAAACATCTCCTCCGGGGTCCAGTTTGCACTGGGATCCTTGGCTTTGGAGGAGGTACTGGGCGCAACCTTCTCCTTGGCAGCTTCCGCAAGGCGCGAGACGGGATTCGAACCTGTTGAGGACATGGTGGTGGCTGTATGCTTTCTGTAGAAACCATTAGTTATCAATCCGGCTAAGTCTGCTGGCCATCTCCACGGCAATCGAGTACAACTGCACCCGCAACCAAGGAAAAACAGCGAGCGTACCAGATGTAGTACAGTTGCCTGGGTAGACTTTGATGTGATGGTTACAATCAGATCAACGTATCATGAAACCAACGACAGAAGCGAACTGGGGCACGGGCCCGGCATGATATATGGTCCAAAGGTGGCGTTAATGATGAGATGATGACGATGGGACTATCCGCATGATGGACTTTACTCACAGGCGGCTGTTGCTCCCAGCCGCACCTTCGTTGGTCTCGAAGCGTTGTGATTGCGTGGTTTTGGCTGGGTGAAGTCATTATGAAGTTTAACCGGTTCGCATTGGTTGAGCCTTCGTAAAAGCAGGGCAGGATCCATGGTCGCTTGCATTATGGTTGCGTTGTCTTCGATTGTTGTTCTATGGGGTCCATGGTACATTAGTTGGTCTCACTAAGATGCATATCAACTTATGATGACTTGATGGAATGTTTGTATAGCCGATCACTCCAATGTACCCGCCCGGGGTTAGATTCGACCCCACAACCTGGGGTAAGCCCCGACACACCACTGCACACTTGCTACCACACCCATTCCGATGGTGGCTGGCATGCTGGTTTTATTGACGCAATAAATGCCTCTTAATTCAACGACATCAAACAATCAATCTCAACCAACTATGGCCAAGGCCAGATTTACCTGGGCATCCGTCCATAAAGGCTAAGCATATTGTGCCGATATGTGACTTGCGTGGAAGCCCGTCTTCTCATCAGCCAATGCACTCCACCGACTAATCAATCCTTCAGATCTGCATGATTATACTCTCAGCCGTTATTAATCTTAGGCTGGGCTTTCTCGCTATTAGTGGGGTATTTGTAATTGGGAACAATAGGTCGATTGAGACGGCAGTTGCTGACATGCCTGGAGGCTACGGACAGAGCGTGAGACTTCATCATAGTTGTATGACCTTCCTCACATCAAACCCGCTGTGTGCTTTCGGATCAGTCCAAGGCAGCACATACCCCTGTTGATTGCTCATAACTCTTACCCCCTTCTCCATGAAATCAGTAGTGTAATGGGTATGCCCAAATACCCAGACTTTCACTCCACCAGGAATCTTCGAAAGAATATCAGTCCCAAAGGCAACACTCCAAGGACTCTGAGCATGTTTGGGACTAGAGGTCCCCTGAAGCGAAGGCGCATGGTGCGTCACAACAAGGATAGACCGTTGCCTACTGCGCTTCCCCGCTGATTCATTCTCCTGTTGTATCGAATGTATCTCCTTCATCAACCAGGAATAATCAGAATCATGGCGTGCATTATGGTCATCAACTGACCAGTCTGCAATCCTTTGGAAATCTTTGACTTTCGACTGAACAATATCGGCCGATTCCTGGGGTACCTTTGACCAAAGCGTACAACCAAGGATACTAACATTAGAACTTGGGACATCGTATCGTTTCTGATGGAGGACGATCAGCCGTCCATTGAGTGCAGGATCCTCTTCAAGTCGTTTTGCTTTTTCTATGCTCGTTTCAAACGCCTCATTATAAAACTCATGATTCCCGAGTACGAGAAACACTAATTTGAACCGATCAGTCAGTCTCTGTAGGAAGTTGCGGTAATCTTCATAGTCCGTTAAGCGTCCGATATCGCCCGCGAGGATAAGATGCTCTGCGCAAGCGGGTATCTCGTAAGATGAGTATTGTTGGTTGACCTCAAGATGGAGGTCAGAAAGAATCTGGAATGATACAGGGGATTGGTTCAACGAAGACCATACTTTCCGAAGCATTGTGTTGATCCAATACGCATAAGCGGTTGGAGCTGAGAGAAGGCGGAACTACTCAAAAAGGAAATTCCACAGGACAAACAATATATCACGTGATTACCAACAGCTACTGCAGTAGTATGTGCTAGGGCAACAATTTCCCCAAATCCTGGAGTTGACATTCGGTCACAGTAGTGGATAAAGTTTGAAGAAGAATGACTCTGTGTGGGATGAAAATTGGTGAATAGTGACAAGTGGGACTCTGCGCATATAGAATGAAGAGCGAAATAGAAGCTAAAGACATTCCGTTGATTTTCTTCTCCCTTCGAGACATCAATCCAGTATACAAGTAATAGTATCGTCCTAATATACTGTTATCGGGAATATTTCAGAGCCTAGTATCTTTGTCAGTGATCTAGAAAGGGAGTTCTCTATGTACGCATGGACGGCAAGTCTCCCAAAAGCTGAGCTGTATTTCTAAAGAATATCTGACAGCCTTTTCTGACATACGGCGTAGTAGAGCAATTAAGTCCCCATCCATGTTTTACAAAGCCTTTCTAGTCATATGTATCGAGAATTAATGTTTGTTTAATAGGATATACCACAATACCAGGTACTTCTTGCCGCGGGTATTGATGATTCAGCTTTTCTGAAAACATCTTTTCTTATGGTTGGGACAAATAAATTCTCTCAGAAAAGCGTAATGATACTATAGATAGTCATACTAAATGAAACAAGAGCAGGTCACTAGGATCACTGAGATTCGTCCATCACGTGAAGTAGAAATCATTCTTCTATGGTATATTCGTGTTCTAAGATTTCGGGGGTGAGGAATCCCTCCTTGTAGCCCAACCAGAAAGTGCCAGGGTTTCCAAATTGATCATAGAACGTAATTCGACCCTCCCAATTCCTAGAGGCCGGCCATGTTCCACGAGCCCAAATAGCCAAAACGGTGACACACAGGGCGTTGCTTTTTTGGTTTATGGTGACCTCAGCCGTATGAGAATCGATCCCCACTGTTCGCGTTTCTTTTGGTCCCATCGGCCAATAGTAGAAGATACTGAAGTAACCATAGTCAAAATAAGCGGTTGCATATTTCAGGGCGGGGTCAACCGTGCCCAGATTATAGCCTTGAAGGTCTGCTTTTCGGAGTTCGTACTTCTTGGTGGTCAGATAAAAGTTCCGTTGTACCCAAACGCCGCTCTGGTCTGGAAACGCTTGGTGTACATCATCCTCCTGCTGCTCAAAGTTGAGATCGTCCACATTGTATGTAATCGGGTTCGTACCCACGAGAGTGACTTTGGAATCAAAGGTTCCACCCCCGGTGTGGTCAATCGTACCATCGGACTGAATGATGCTAGCGCCGATTCTCTTGTCTTCGATCTTCGTCGTCGTAACCCAGTAACGCTTCTTTTGAGGACCCCCAGCCGCAAGAGATAGGTCAGGCTGGATGGCCGTTTTAGTAGATGGCAACCCGTGTTCGAATTCGTTTTCTGTGACTGAATAATTCCACGATCCTGATATTTCCGTGGGAGGGTCGTCATAGTCGATAAGTTTGATTGTCTCGAGCTCGGAATCATTCGGTTCATAGGCATTGTTTGTGTCTGGATCAACCACACTGATAACAACAATCACAGGAACCTGCATGTTGCCATTGGCGTAGAGAGCATCACTCGTGGCGTTGGGTGTAGTGGCCTGGACTTCGAACGAGGAAACCTCCCAGGAGACGGATGTAGAACCCATGATGGGATAGTAGATGAATGATAACTGAGGTGAATGGTGTGAGTAGATAATATCTCTGGACAGACAGAGGAATGTGCTTCTCACGGGTTATTATAGATTTCCTAAGCGAATAAAGCAATAGGTGATGCCCGCCATCCTGGTTGTACAACCTGTAGAGAAGACCATTGTTCCGATATCAGCTCTGAATCACACAGGCTCTTCACCTTTCATAAGCGTTAGAGGGCAGATTAATCTAATGTAACATTAATATAACAACCACCATTCTAGTATTGTCTAGACTCACTCCTCAACCCCTCCAATGTGTAATAGCTAGATTAAGTACTACTTAGTATCCAATCATCCTCTTTGGATCCATCTCGGAATATGTTCCCGAGCTGAAATTCAGCTGGCAAACCCGAACAATGTGAGCAACCCTTAGTACTAGTAGTCTTCTTCGCAGTCTCAGCTCTCCACTAATCTAACATGGTTTCGGAGAGTCCGACAGACATGTAATGATACTGTAATGCATCTGGGAGTTTGAGGTCTTAGCATGTACGATGTCGAAAAAGTTGTATGTTATGTTGCCACCTTTAATATGAGATGCGTGATTTGAAAGAGACCTACTTGACGTGCTAGATCAACATGAGGTGGCAAGTACACCTCGCAGACGGATGAACGCTCATCATGATGTTCCACCAGTAAGACATGCATGTGTAGTGTAGAGACCTGCTTTAGCGGCTTTGAGGTGACGAAGACAGCATCGATCAATGTATCAATAGCCCAGTCATTGTGCTCCTCCTCCTCTTTGCTGGCAGGGTGGGAAGATGTAGGCATATACCAGCATGTATGTATATATAGGGAGCTGTTCACTGCTCTTGAATCTAGTCTGAGTGTCATGCTCATTCCCTGATCTCGTTCACAATTCTCCCATCATCAAAAACTCAATTCTGTTAACTCAAAAGACAGTACATTATGTCGTCCAACCCTAGTGACCTCTACTCCCAGGGTTTCAATTTTCGAAGTTTTCTACAGAAAGGAGTTGATCCTCGTACTGGACAATACACCGTCAGCATTCAACTCTTTGATGCGCCATCGGAGACTCGTAACTGTCCGTCACTCAAACTATCTTTGAGCTACAATCCCCTCAACACCAAAGATATCGGTTTGGGCACTGGCTGGTCTTTTAATCTACCCTCGTACGACCATCGCCAAGGCAAGACTCTGTTGCTCTCGACGGGTGAAAACTTCCAAGCCACTGAGACGACCAGTGCCTTTTTCATCCAGGACCAGAAGCTCAAGAGCTTCCAGGCCAAGAGAACGGGATCATCGGCAGGATCTACTTATGAGGTGGCCTACAAATCAGGCCAGGTAGAGATTCTCTCTGGTTTCAACAACACTTACAACCAATCGGTTCCAATCACCATCTACGGCGCCAACGGTCGTGCACTCAGTCTGGAGTGGACCCGCAACGGTGAACAGCCACGACTGAGTAAGATCCAAGACGGAGATGATGTTCTGCTGGAAGTACAGTATTCCGATGCGCAGGTAACCATCACCAAGGCGCCTGGAACTACCGCGGCCAGCACCTTCACGCTTATCCGGCGTAATGCGCAATTAACCCAGCTCGAACTGCCGCTGGACGACGACACGCCCCCGTGGCAGTTCTCGTACAACTCCCTCAGCAACGGATTTGTGTGTGTCTCACAGGTAACAGGCCCCACTGGTTTGGTTGAAGAGGTCAATTACAAGCAAGATGGTCACCAGCTGCCCTCTGGAGCGCCTTTTACGAGAATTCCATACGTGGTGTCTCATGTGGCGCGTCCAGGCCGTCAGCAGCCAGCCATAAAGACAACCTACAGTTACTCCTCATACAATTTCCTGGGCTATGGAGGAGGGCGGCAGTGGAGCGCTACCGGCGATAACTTGTACCAGGTGCCTGCGGAATACCAGTACACATCCACGGCGCAGCTTGAGGGTGGAGCAACCACAACCTATACTTACAACAAGTTCCACTTGACCACCAAGATCGAGGAACAACTGAACACGAAAAAATCTACCCAGGACATCACATATCATGCCACTCCAAATACAGCGTTTGACCATCAGCCTGCGCAATACTTGTTACCCAAAACGGTTGCAATCACCTATGCGGACACAACTGCCTCCAGTCGGACAGAAACAACAACAACCGAATTTGACGAATGGGGCAATCCTACTACGGAGATCAAAACGGATGGCTTGATTACCACTCGCACATACTACGCCGCAGATGGAGAGGCAGATTGCCCGGCTGACCCCCATGGGTTCCAACGATACTTGTAAACGGAAACAGTGACTCCGGCGGAGACATCCTTTGCTGCACCGACCAGAACGGAGAAATTCGGTTATTCGGAGCTCCCTACTTCAAGTAATGCGACAGTACAGACATTTGTTCTGCAATCATCGCGCATCACTCTTGAGGGGGACACATCGCTGACCACTGCCGAGTATACGTATATCAACCAGCCAGACTCACGCGATCATGGACGCGTCCAAGAACAAAAGACATGGTTATCTTCGAAAGACAACGCCACAACCCAGACATATGCCTACGAGTATCTCAGTAGCGGTGAATTGAAAAAGACACTCAATACGGCCGGCTTTGACGGCGTTTCGGCCAAATTTGAGACCGTCCATTCCCTGTCGTCTGGGAAGGTTACAGGACAGACGGATGATGCTGGTATCCAGGATGTCTTCCAATATGATGCATTGGGCAGATTGGTCAAAGCCGCAACAGCAATTGATACCGACCAGGAAGCAGTCCGCTACAACAGTTACTCCATCCCTGACGACGGCAGTAGTGGCATGGTGCTGTCAGTCACGGATGCTAAAGGTGTCCAGACACAATACATTTCCGACGGCCTGGAGAGAATCTGCCAAGTGAAGAGACAAGATGATAATGGCTTGTGGGATGCGTCTACCAACACATACTCCGGCACTTTTCGCTTACTGCAGGAGCGCAACTATAATGCTCTGGGCCAACATGTTGAACAAACTGACATTGACTGGCTGCGTACCACAGATAGCGATCCAACGGAACTACGAACAACCAAGGAACTGCAGTATGACGAATGGGGTCAGGTCCTGAAGACTGTAAGCAAAAGCACAGGTGTCACGACAATTTCAGCAACGGATCCTATCAGCCTGAGTCAAACAGAAGGAATCGAGGGCGAAGGCCAAAGTGTCACGCAGCTCAACCTGTCCGGCGTGCCTACTCAAATCCGCCTTCTGGGCAAAAATGGAACCGAGTACAGCAAGCTCACGTACAGCTATGACGGCCTCGGGCGACTAGTGGAAGAAGAAGATGCCTTGGGTCGCAAGACAAAATACCAATCTGACTCGTTTGACCGAGTCACTAAGACCACATGGGTGAGCGGCCGGGAAGTCAACGTCCAGTATGCCACCCAAAGCGCGGCAGCTCTCCCGACCTCACTCCAAGTCAACGACACAAACCTTGGCGGGCAGTCCTTCGATGGATTGGACCGATTGACGCAGCGAACAGTCGGTGGGCGCAGTCTGAAACAATCCTACCAGGGCAGCACCCCAGAGCCAACTCAGATCGCCACGGACAAGGGCGACTTCAAACTCACATACGAGCCGGGTTTGCGCCAATCGCTCTCGACAATCAGTAGCCAGGACAGAAATGAGACATACAAGTACGACTCAAAGACGGGGGTTGCATTGCGGCTCAAAGGCTCATCTAGCACCGCGGATCGTCAGTACTACCCGTCAGGCCTACTGAAAAGTGAAGCGCTCGACCTCAGCGAAGGTGCCGCATCCTTTTCTACTCAATCGACATACTCAATGGCCGGGAAGTTGCAAGGATATACCGACGTTCACGGAAAGGAATACCAGAACACATATGATAGTGCAGGCCGCCTGAGTTCCTTGGCTGTAGGATCCCTCACCGTCTCTTATTCATACGACAGCGCCAACCGTCTGTCCGGCACTACAGTTCAAGACCAAGAGCATGACTCCAGCTTGACCACAAACCTTGTCTACGATGACTTCGGTCGAGAGATTGAGCGCACAGTGTTGCAAGGGGAGAATCAGGTGTCTAGACTGACTCAATCCTTTGGCGAGACAAGTCTTATCACCACGCGGCAAGTAGAAGATAATGGGAACATTGTCCGAAACGAATCATTTGCCTACGACGAGCACAACCGTTTGGTCAAGTACACATGCGAGGGAAGCGAGCTTCCGAAAGATGAAAAGGGACATGAGATACAATCCCAAGAATTCACCTTCGATAACCTCGACAATATAACGTCTGTCACAACAGGATTTCAAGATGGAACTCAAAACACGGCAACCTACTCATACAGCCAGAGTGATCCAACCCAGCTCAGCCAGATCACAAACAGCAATCCCGATTTCACACCTCAAACCACCCTGGCATATGATGCTAATGGATGTCTCATCCAAGATGAGCAAGGCCGTAACTTGGAATACGACAGCGGCGGTCGCCTGAAGTCAGTCAGAGATAGCAGTGGCAGCCTTCTCAGTCAATACAACTATGACGCAGCTGGTAAACTGATCTCCCAGTCAATCCCTGACCAGCCAGATACCCAGCTATTCTACCGACAAGACAAACTCATCAGTGTCAAGTCCGGAGACCGCCAAGTGAGCTATATATCCGCTGGCAATGAATACCTGGGACAAAGTACCCAGAACGGCGATCCTACGGAGATTCAGCTCTGGGGATCCGATGCGAACGGCTCTGTGCTCAACTGGTTCAACCCAGCACAGCCAGATCAAATCCACCAACAGCAGTACACGCCGTACGGCTTCAGCGCCCCCGATTCCGCCTCCTCCATAGGCTTTAACGGCCAGTGGCGTGATCCAGTCACCGGATGGTACCACCTGGGTAACGGATACCGCGTCTATAACCCCGTCTTGATGCGCTACCATGTGCCCGACCCCGGCAGCCCATTCGGCACAGGTGAAGTCAACGGCTACGCTTACTGCCTGGGCGACCCCATCAACCGCATCGACCCAAGCGGGCAGTGGAGCTTCTTCGGGCTCTTCGATTTTAGCTGGGCAGATCTAGTGTCTACCGTAATCGGCGTGGTAGTGAGCGTCGCAGTCGGCGTCCTCACAGCCGGAGCAAGTGTGGCCATCGAGGTCGGCGTGGGAATCGCAGCCGGAGTAGCAACGAGTGCCGGAGTCGGAATAGGAACAGATCTAGTCGAAGGGCGAATGCCAACATGGAAATCCGTTGGAATCGACGCGCTCTCCGGCTTGGTCGGTGGTGTGCTCGGGGAGGCTGGTGGCCGGTTTTTAGCTTCTGGACTCAAATTCGCCACCAACTTCAAGAGCTTCATCGGACGAGCTGGCTCATACACAGTCAATGAGGTTGCAAAGACGGGATTCGAGACTTTCAAGGAAGCTGTCAAGGGGGCTGTGGAAGGTGAAATTGCCGGTCAGCTTAGCTACGGCTTATACGGCGATGCACTCTCCAGCGCGTTGGAAGGAGAAGACTCCTCATCATCGTCCCAGCAGGTTTCAAGTTCATCACCGGTAACTAGGTTACCGTCATCGTCTCAACCCTCTCAGAAGGGCCAGGTAGTCGCGGTCAGAGAGGCGTCGTTGGCTAGAGATCCCATCAGACTTTCTCTGCGGGATGGTCAATCGACCGTTTCTTCTAATCGGGACCGCGCATTCGGTAAGGATGCCGGAAAGTCCATTCCTGGCATCTTGAATCGCCAGCTCAAGTGCACGTTCGGGCCTCTTGGAGCTTCGCAGGGAAAGCGGCAAGCGACGGGAAGTGGTGCACTTGAGTCTTTGGAGAAGAAAAGAAGATCGTGTGCGTCGGTGAGGAGTCAGATTCGGGCTCAGGGTGTTTGATTGAGTAGTTTATATGAGTTCCTGCTGTGAAGAAGAAGTTTGATGCATGAAAGATGGATTAGCATCGAATGGGCTTTCTGTTGTCCGTCTCTCCCCATTTCTTCTCTCTGCCCTGCCAGTGTAAGCAAATATCAAAACAGCAATGTCATTCTAGTCTATCTAGCAACTATATACTATCACAATCTGAGATATTCCTCCATAATTAGTAAGTGCGGCTGTAGTCAGTCTATTGGTGCCGTGAACAGAAACATGACGGTCTATGGTGCGCGAAAACAATGAAATGCTAGAGATAATGGATAATCAAAGTGTGCAAGGGAGTGTGTAAGGGAGTTAGAAAAACCGAAATAATAATAACCACAAGAGTATAAGAGAGGAAGAAAGGAAAGGAAATAAGAGAGTAATAGGGTGAAAGAGTGTGTGGGTAATCAGGAAAAGGAGATGTAGGGAGACATGAGGCAGACAGAAGAGATAGATGCCTCCATTCCCTTATTTGACGATCTCAAACCGCCGGGAAGGGCTGTAGGTCTTGTGGAGGAATCCGGTGCAGCATGTGTACCACTACCACCGGTGGGTTAGGCCCGTTCGGATTGTGTGGGTCATCAAGACAGATTCTCCAGTGCATGAACAAGGAAGTCCCCAGCTGGATGCTCCAGTACACCCGGAACAGATACTCGTGACCGCCCTGTTGACCAGACTTGAAATTCATCACCGAGTCACGAGCAGGATCAACGATCCTATGCAAGGCAAGGCGGTGTGCTAGAATCACGTGTTAGTCACATAGACAGACTTCAAAAAGGGAGTCAGGACAGAGGAATTACTAACTTTGTGCTTGCCGTAGGCTACAAACACTCACGTATTGCTCTGGCGCAGTGACCAAGAACCGCATACGGACCGAGAACCCCCCCTGCATTCCAGTGAGGCCCTTCAAAGAACACGCAGATTAGCGGAAGTTTCCTGACGAAGCAATTGTTTCTTTTGTTTTTTTGATATTGGGGGGGGGGGGGGGGCGTTGCGGAAGTCTAGACAACTTACTGGTCGGATAACTACAAAAGCATCGGATTGTTCTCGCAGCTCATTTCCAACCCGTGCAACAGAAGGGACTACCAATTGGATGGTGGTGTTGCTTTGGAAGCTCTGTACTCCATGCAACCTGGCCGCACACAGTGCCGCACCGCGTGAAACTGCCCGCACACTGCCAGAGAAGTCAGAATCATGCAGTTCATTGATCACTAGAAGTCTCGAGTGAAGACAGCTTACCTGTGTTGCAGTTCCCCCAGCAACTTGGGTCCGGAATTCGGGTAAGCGCGTGCAAGATCCTGTTCGACCTCACGGCGTAAGTATGCCGACTTGCCCAGCCCACCTGCCAGGATCACCTTCGTAATTCTGGCATTTAATGGGGCGGTGATTCGTGCATGTATCTGCCGAAGTATGGCTTGCACAACCGGCCTGAAGGCAAGGACCAGGGCATTGTGGTCGAAACGATACTCTACTTTGCGGTTTCCCTGCAGCTCAATCCGAATTGCGTGCACCTCAGTCCCGGTCCTGCCTGAGAATAAGTCTTTCACAGAGCTGATACACTGCCGAGCCTGAGCAGCGCTTACCCACTGTCTGGAGTCGTGAGGTAGGTCCGGGTGGGCAGTCCGAAGTTGCTTCACCAGTTCCAAGTCCACATCAAATCCACCACATCGAATGCCTGAGACGGATTAGCTACCCATATACAGGCCTCCGCCTTCCGCAAATCGGTGGTACGTACTTGTAGGATCTCCCAGGAGTTGGAAGGTGAAAGGACGATCTCCATTGTTGCCATTTACTTGTAAAACGGCAGTGTCCTAATCGAGTGTCAGCTGGATGGTACCTTAAATGACTTTGACCAAGATAAGCCTTACGATTGTGGAGCCGCCGCAGTCGCACACAAGAAGTATGTCACCATCCTAGTTATCCGACCTTGTTAATTCCAAACGCACCCAGAGGATTCTTGCTGGCTGCTGCTGCTCACCTGCATGTCATTTCCGTTCCTGTACTCATCAGCAGCCCATACAGCCGCAGCTACAGCTTCAGAGGCATAGGTAATGCGATGGTTGTTCCCAAACCATCCAACGTTCTCAACTGCCGACCGAAATTCCAGACGGCCGCGGTCTGACCAGCAATCTGGTTCGGTGAAACACCAGTGGATTTGTGGTCCACGCTCTCTGAGGTCCATCCACAGCCTGTCCCGCAAGTCTCGAAGAAAGTCACTGATGATTTTTCCGGTGCCAATGTCGTTTAGTTCCACTGTGCCGCCGAGGAGGTCTCTCAGATTATGGCGTTGTGTGGCCACGTCTGGGGACCCATCCAGCATGAGTTTTACCCAAACATACGGCTCTCTGCCGCGGGATGCCGCGGCACTCCTCCCCCACATGATCTGACCATTGCTGTTGTATTTGAAGATCGAAAGGATTATACCGTCATTAGCGCCATGAGTAGCCCATGTCGTCAGGACGCCCAGGGTAGTCAGGATTGTAAGGACTGTAAAGTATGTTTACGTTAGCGAGAAGCAGAGAGAGAGAGAGAGGGGGGGGAAATAGAAAATAAGGCAGAGGCAGAGAGGCAGAGAGACAGATAAAACAGAAAAACAGAAAGATAAAAAAACAGAGAAACAAAGAGAAAGAGAGACAGCAAGACAGAGAGACAAAGAGACAAAAAAAAGGGATTTAAAAAGGGATAGGAGGGAACAAGGAACTTGCCCGTTTTATACGCCCCAAAGTCCACGGAAATGAAGTACTGGTTCGGTTCAATGGTGGATAGAGGCGGGGGACAAAGTGTTTGAAGATTTGTGAGATGATGCTAATGAAAAAAAAAATAAGAAAATGCATTCAAGACCAGCTGAATACATATACAATGGAGATTGATGATGATATTGGTATGAGATTGAGAAAATGAAAAGGGAAGTGCGTCCAGTTGGCTCTATTTATGTTTATTGATATGCCACTCAGAGTTACTACTACTCCTACTACAATTAGATTACAATGTATGATGCTATCTTTGAACTGCACCAGAATGGCGTTCAGTTCGCACGTTCATCTCATGACCTGGCCGTGTCTCTCTCTGTCACGCTCACACACATACGGGCCCCTCCCCCTGTCTTAACTGGTCTACCAGTCAATTGCATGGCATCCAAGAAGGTTTGTTGCGGCTGAAACCCTCACACGGGCTAGATTTGCGGATGGGTTGATGCCTCACATCACACAAAGAGCCGGGTAGCCCTAAGGGCCAATGAGCAGCCAGGGAACTAACTGACTGAATGGATGAACGGATGAATGAATCTATGAATAAAGAAATAGACTTTTGTCATCTGTCCCCCCGTTTACCTTGCCCGATTTTCCTCTCTCTCTCTCTCTCTCTCTCTCTCTCAATTCCCATCATCTTCCTCCGTATCCACACTCTCTCCCAACTCTGCGACACCTCCTCTCAACATCTCCTGAATAGACTCCAAACCAAAATTACCGATTCTATTTTGGCCCTTTCGTCACGCTACTCATCGTCATTATGACCAGCCCCCAGAACCAACATAAGCGGCTCAAGCGCACTTGGTCGGATTTTGAAGAAGAATCTAAGTTGGCCATGGAGAAGGAAGCTATGCTAGACGCGGAGGAGGGATCTATACCGGACATATGGAACGAAGGGGGTCCGGCTTTGTTACCCACTGCAAAGTACCTCTGTCAGAGACAGGAGTATAATGAGATGATTGAACATTATTGGTCCATGGCCTTTATGGCTGGACCGCACATGAGGTCTTCACCAGCAGATTTCCAAAAGGGATTCATTAAGATTGAAATGGAGGTTCACAGTTGGGCTTGGCGCTTTGGTGAAGAAGATTCGATGCTTCATCTCTCCAGTGATGACAAACAGGCCATTATCGCCAGCCTAGATGGATTCTGTGTCCAAGAGGACTGGGACAAGATTCGTTCCTCTCTTCCTCCTGCCGCTCGCTCTGTGTTTGGAAAAGTTTTGCTAGAGACCATGCTCAATCAGTTCATATACAAAAAGTTTGCCACCTCCCCCTTTTGGTTTATGGATGCCAAGGTGGATGCAACGGACCAGCCCGGGGATGCCAACTTCATTAAGAGACTTGACTTTATATACCAGGGGTTCAAGAAAAGTATGTCCTTCTCAAGTCCGCATTCCTCCTCTTTCCCTCGTCACGAGATTATTTGAATTTACTAACACTTAGACTTAACATAGTGTTGCCCACGAACGCAGCATGGTGGAAGTCAACCCTCGTGAGCATCAGCACTGTACAAGACCTCGTCCTGGGTGCTCCCGAACACACAGCACTCAGTCGAACCATGCATGGACGTCGCAAAGAACTCGTAAAGTCCTATGTGGACGAGCTGTGGGGGTGCCGACTGTTTCGACTCCTTCTCAAAGAATCGCTGAGCGAGTCGCTCCAGACATTCCGCGATGACAGACTCCACATGATTCTAGAGTTTGCGGCCCAAGAGTTTATTGCTGGTCAAGCTGGTGTCTTTGGCAATTTAGTGGTTGAGCGACTGCCTGAGCTTGCCAAATTTGATCACCATTCGGACACTATGGTAACCCATCATTTCCATGCTGGCTCTGAGTCCCACCATGGTGCTCAGGTTCTTCTCGTGGTAAGACCCCGCTACAGCTACCGTGATACGATTGTGGGTATAAATTGGGTACCGGTACCTCCGATCCAACTCATACAGGCGGAGGTTCTGACGGCGCCAATGGCGCCAGAGCAACACGCTCAATGGGCAGCCGCTGCTGGCGATGATGACGCTACCCAGAATGAGAGAATCGACAATGAGGGGGTGGACAATGAGAGAAACGAACGAGATGGAGAAGGCGAAGGCGAAAGGGAAGGAGAAGGGGGAAAGGAAAGAGAAGACGATGATGACAATGACAACGAAGGTGAGGATGATAACAGTGACGATGAAGATTTTGAGGATGACGAATGAGCGATATGGGGATTGGAGAGGAGGGGCTTTCCTGTTTTGTATCATTTCGGTTTTCTTCACTTTGTTTTTGTCTCGTGAGATTCAACTTTATTGTTCCTTCATTTGTCAGTCGCTATATACTATCATCAAATAGATACTAATATCAATTTCGGGCTTACCTATTATACCTTGTGCACCGGTAGCTCATAGCTTTCCCGTAGAATACATACATCCCCGATATAGTCAGTATTTCACGCCATATTAAAAGCAAGTGGTGATACTGGTTTATACTAACTTATACATCAGTAACTGTCCCCAAATAGTCTCCATCCCCTGGGTTCACTAATTGAATTTGTTACAGTCCGGTCGAGCCTCTGTTCGTATTATCAGGTGGTTACTATACATACATACGTTCCATGACGAGAATACAGGCACAACTCTATTAGTGCCACTGCTTATATATATGAATATATAAAGTTAGTAGTAGAAACATCCTAAATCTCTGCACAAAGTTCCCATAGTACCATTCAGGGCTGGAAAACCATAAACCTGAATTATAGTCTACAGCAATATCATTTTCCTTCTACGACTAGAGGTATATCCTGTCACTTCTTCTCTAAGATAATGTGACAATAGCTGTGGGATTCAGAACAAGTAGTACTAATGCTAATTATAGATGTGAGTAGGGCTTACTATTTTTGGATTATCTTCTTGGGTTCAGCCAGGATGATTACCGCTACAGTAACCCCGGCCATCTGTTTCACCCCCTTTCGGGGTCAGTGAATGTCTAGACATATTGTAGTTCATGGTAATAAGTAGTAGAGGTCATCATCATCAACATCACTATAACTATTCTTCATTCTATACAAACAAATACTTGTACATATATGCTTTATTTTCCACTGTCTTACGTACCTACTATCTTGGACAACTGTAAATCTCCAAACTAAGTAAATAATCCCCAAATTATCCCTTCCTAGTATGCAGTTCAAATTCAATTTTCGTCACAATACCCAACTAAGTAAGTACCACCTTCAGCTACTACTACTACTTATAGTATTTACATAACTTAGTTACTTACCCGCGCATGCCAAGCAAGCAAGCACCTCACCAACCCAACCTAACCCATCAACCCATCAACCATACCCTCTACCAGTACACATAAATATGCAAACCCAACAGCACATAACCCCAAGAACCACCGTACCGACACCTAAACCACCTCACCTCAAGATTTAACCCAAGTTAATCCACCGCAATGCATTAACCTTATCAATAATTCGTCCAAATTTAAACTCCCCGTTAATTCCGATGGCCAGCGGGCTGGGTTGGTTGGTTCAATCCAATCCAATCCGAAGGGGGTAATGATTGCCTGCTGAGGTGTTTGTCAGTCAGTTGCCTACCCTGTTGTTGTCCACATGGCCCATGTGGCATACATACGTACATACATACATACATAATGTATGTGAGTGCGGGTTGGGCGACGTGCATAATACCCTACTACTTACTTACTAACTACTAATTTACTAGTAGATAGATGGGTAGTTGTTAGTGGATGATGCGGAGTTATGGGGCCGAGGGTCCAGTGACGTCGGGCAACTCCCACTACTTACTGGTTACTTATCGATCAGGTCTGGTATTACTGTGTTGGGCATGTGACGTGCAGATGGATGCAGATACGGGATTGTTCTGGTTGGTTGGTTGGGTTGTCACTACGTGGTGGGGTAAAAGTATAAGAATCAAAATCAGAGTACTACGTAGTATGAAGTGCAATTTAAATGGTATAATATTGGTCTATCGGTCCGTGGTTGTAGTGGGTAAATAGTAGTAGTGTATCTAGTATGTACGCTGTGCCAGTACAAACAAAGGAAATAAGGAAAGAATCATCCCAACAGTGTCCGACGCTGATAACCGAATGATGAACTGGTGTGTCGCAGAATGGTATCTTAAAGAACAGAACGAAGCGAAGCCACTTGTATACTGCTGCTGCTGAGGGTATATCAAGTCCACGTTCCCGATGAGCAAGCACGCCAGTCAAGAAAGCAGATCCCCGTCCCAGGAAACATAACAATAGAAAGATAAAAGAAATGTATCACAAAGGAAAGGTAAGAATATAAAAAGCTTCCCGCGCTGATAGCGGGGTATTCGAGCAGTAGGTATCAATCACACGCAGCAGCAATCCAGTGAGCCAAGCCCAAACCAAACGCGCTCAAATGCAATCCGGTGATAATGAGAATAAAAATGAAGAATCAAGGACAACGCTCACGCGCCTGTATTCCGTTGCGGTGCGAAAAATGCATCCCGTCGCTTATATCGAAATCAAATCAGAGTATTACTTTTGGGTTTCCTATGTCGGTATAGGATGTAGAGTCGAAGTTGTGTCCGTTCTAAGCTGAGGTCGGTCGGCGAAGAATCTCCTCGCAGTTGGCGTCAAAGCGCATGTTCCATAACCGAATGCTGTTCATCAACTTCTCCGTGCTTTCTAGCTCGCGGTCCCGGCCGAAGATCGTTTCCACAAACTCGCAGCCCGCGTTACGGCCCATCGAGACCGTCTTGCCACCCTCGCGCTTGGCGGCCTTCCACATGAACTGTTCACATGTCTTCAGCAGCTTCTTGAATCGCACCCACAGGCGTTCGCCACTTTCCAGAAAATCCGCAACCGTCTCACGCGCATCGCGGCGCTTGATGCGATCGATGCATTCGTCTGCCCGTTTCACCTTACCGGCCAACTTGATCAACAACAACCACAGATCGCCTGCGACATCTGCCATAGGAGTCGACGCGCCGTGGTGGAATACTGTCCAGTCGTAGATCCACTTGCCCAGCGAGTTGGCGTCGAATACACTGCCCAGTAGGATGATGGGCATTTCCGTCGGATCCCAGTTCTTGATCGAGTATCCCTCGGGGATACCGGCCCGCGCAGCGTCCTCTTCGGTGGCCTTTGGCGGCGGCTTGGCCGCGGGTGCAGGCTTGGGCTTGGACGGCGTCCGAGTGGAGGTAGATTGGCGACGCGCCCGGGCGCGTTTGGCGGAATCGACATCATCTTGGGCAGGAACCTGGTTATAGTAAAAGTATTGATCAGTGGGTGGCTTTGGCTTGCGCGGAGGCGTCGTTGGTTTGCGACGGGGAGGACTGGGTTCCTCGCGAAAGACGTATCGGGGGGCGTCATCGTATGCATCGTCGACCACATCCACAAAGATGGGTCGCTTGTGCGATGGCGGAGCGCCAGCGGACTCCCACGGACCGGCGGGCGCACCAGCCATGGTACTGCGACGACGGTGATAGCCACCAAAAGAAGCACTTACAGGATCGTGCTTGCGCGGTGGCGTGCCATGCTCCGGCATCGCTTCATAGATTCCATGGCCATACCCGGAATACCATCCTGCCGTTTCCCTAGGACCGGCGTAGCTGGCTTTGCGATTATGGCGCTTCGAGGGGCCACGAGGCGAGGCGTAGGGACTGGCAAATTGGGTGGCGTAATAGGCGTAGTGAGGCGAGGTGGGAGGGGAGGTCATGTAGTCGTAGGAAGACCACCCGGGGTGAGGACTGGGATAATGGTACATTATCGAGAAAGGCGCATAAAAATCGAGGCTGCAAACGGCGAGGCGAGATACGAAACGAGAACTTTTTATGGGTGGAAAGAGTCCCAGAAGCACGACAATCGCTAGAGGTATAGAAAGCAAACAGCAAACAACAAAAAGCACAACCCAGGTATATTATACAGGATATCGTTCAACAAGCCGATCGACGCCGGGTTTAAAAGGACAACGGAATCGGGATAGCGATAATGACGATGATGACTGAGGAAGAGGACCGTCACCGAGGCACGGTTTCTAGGGGAGAGGAGGAGGCGATTTGTATGTGCTGAGAGTGCATTTGAACGTTGTCGCTAACCGAACGGTGTGCGGGCAAAGGCGGCTGGCTGTGGAAGGAATGCCTGGGGATCTCCGGGGGGCAAACAGAGATCAAACGATGGGAAGTGTGCGTTAAGGAACGCTGTGACCTCTTGAGAGGTATATAGTATATACAACTGAGAACAGCGATAAGCCGGGGACTTCCAGGAGGCGACCCAAGGAAGGGATGCGACAGGGGAGAGTAGGTGTAAGAGGGAGAGTAGTATATAGATAGGAAGAACCCAAGAAGGGTGTTGTGTGTGTGTGGAAGGGGAGTCACAGAGGAGCCAACCGGTTTTGTACGGACGGCAAAGACAGAAAAGACAGAAAGAAAGGGCACGGGCGCTGCGGTAAACTTGGTAAGGAGTGGGGCTCCCAGGTATAATCCCGTCGGTAATTAATCTTTCCAGACTTGCTCTTGCGCTGCGGCGGAGTCACGCTAGTGGGTTAGTGGGCTTAGTGCGGTGGATTTAGTTCGTCTCTTAGTGACTTGCTGTTGAAAGTTACCGTCATGTCACGTCTGTTGCGTTTGCTGACCATACGGTAAAGTATTGCTGAGGGTGTGGTTTCAGGCCCAACCACCACCAGAAAGCAAAAAGGATGAATGGGCGAGGGATGGCCAGGGAGGGTGAAACCCAAACAAGTACGAGTATCAATAGAAGAGATAGTATCCAGTAGTAGGAGAGTTTAATACTGCAGGATATTGGAAACGTCTCATCCCATCCAGACTGTTGCAAAGTCAGTCAGGACAAGACCAGACAAGGCTGGACACATTCCCTCAAGAAATCGCCGCAGAGTATCATCCTAGGACCAACAGCGACCCGTGCTTTAATATACCCATTATCAGGTCCCCCTCTCTGCGGCATGAAGATGAATCATCCGATTGATGGGCGCCATTGCAAGAGTCATCTGAACCGCTCTGTTGGGCATCCCGCGTTCGCTCCCTGACTGGGCGACACGATGAAACAGGCAACGGCAGGCTCGCTACGGAAAATAATGCGCAGAGGGGATCCTCAGATTCTCAAGTCCAGTCATCTTCTTCAACATGTCTGTCTATCATGCTCGATAAGAACTACCGCGGCGCATTGCTATTGGCGAGCCCATCACTCCGCCGCCGCTGCGTTCCTCAGCAGGCGTGCGTACCTACAGTGGGAGCCTGCCGCATAGCAAGGAGCACATCACGTTTTCGGGGCGAAAGAATGTGAGTCATGGTCACGTTGCCACAGGTGGCTCAGTCGTGAGTAAGAGATATTAATATCTTTCAAGGCAGTCATCGTGAGATGGACACTCACTCTCTTATACAGAGCTTGTCCTACCTGGGTGCCTAGCACTGTGGCGAGGTCAAGTAGGAGCCTACAATGTCTCTGGCAGCACCTCTATATGGAAAGAGCCATGCTGGGCATGCTACCGAAGGAGCCGAACCTACAGAGTGACTGCATCTCCGGCATGGGGCCAGTCCATGGTCCAAAGTACTGTACATCAATAGATATGCTGATCTGGCGCGCACGATTATCGACGGTCGGTTCCATGGACAGTGTGCGGATGAGCCCGTCGGTAATCCATGGTTGCGATCCGGGGTCCGCGAACAAGCTCAACTGGTCGAACCAGTGGAACCATAAGGCATGGAATATCTGACTCCCTCAAAGCCACGAGCCATCGCATGGTTGTTGGGCAACAGCTGGAGTGGATGGGCGTTGCGGATGGGCGTTACCGCTGCCGACCAGCTGGGCAGCAACCACACCCTCTTCATATCGGACGACGCCTGTTGGACAGACCGCAATTTGCGAGTCGAACGCGGTAGTTTAAAAATTCGTAGGATCTGAAATCCGGGCATTTGTCTGGCGAACACTTTTGTGAAACTTCCAGGACACTCAAGCTGTCTGAGCTCTAGACTATTGAAGACTGCATAGTGTTGGCGTCTCTCGAATGTGATAGACGCCGTTGCCCAATACGGACAGGCAGGCAGGCAGACAGAAAGATAGACCGAGGGGAACAGCAAAGTACTTAGCGCCTTCAAGTTCCCAAGCGACCACAAGACTTACTAGTTCTGCTACTAGCAGGAAGTACTAGTAGTAGTTCAGTTCAAATCCGTAGGGCCAGTCCCCGGGCGGACTTCCAATTAGCAATCGGCCTTCCCCGGTGTCAAGACTTCCACGCAATCAGCGACCGGGAAAGTAGCGAATTCTGTGGCCCCTGGCAGATAGGCAACCCTTCTTTGAAAGCTGGCTGGCCAGAGGATCTTTGCAAGGTCACACATGGCGCTCTGGGTTAAAGCAGGTCAGAAAAGTATGTGATCATGGTTACGTGGTGGCGTTAGCCTGTCGGGACGGGAGGAGTCACAATATTAAAGAGTATCCTGAGCCATATCAGAAACCTTAAGAGGGATGGAGTCCTCATCATCGAACTTGGCTGAATCTGAGCGACCACTTGCATTGCGATGACCACCATTGGATAAACCCTGCCGGACGCGGGATCAAGTCCGGGTGCCGCTGAGCTCCGCTCGGCGTCAACGGTTCGAATGCATAGATGAATTGCGGTGATAGTGTCCTGATTGGGAGGGGGAGATACGGTCCGCCAATCTACTTGGTTCTCTCATTGTATACTGAGATGCGAGAATACTACTCGAAATGACCTATCGCACTGGCAGATATTTCCAATGTATGCTACACAACATGGCGGTGATAAAATCCCTACTGACTAACTCTCTCACCTCATCGTTCGCACCGCCGAATGTGGAAGGCCTCCAGAAAGGATGGTCAGCAAAGTAAATCAAAGTCAAACAAGCACCCCCACAGGGCCAGTCCCACCATCAGAGTTTTCACCGTCCCTTGCTCGGGGAGCCGATGATCTAGTCTAGACTGTGCCGTGTGCCTTGATAGTCTCGCTCTTATTTTTAATTATTCCTTTCAGCTGGTGTTGCTTTCCTTCTGGAAGATGCCTTCAATTACGCTGCAGCCTGTATGGTATGGTACATACAAGGACCCCATGTACCTTTGTCCCGAAATTAATGCAAATATTTGGCCCTTGATCACATTTCAGGCCAGACCCATAGAATGCCAGAATGTCCCCAGCCGATACTCCAAATATTGATACACAAATCCACATTAATCTATCTCACAACACAACACAACACAACAGTAAATACTAAATAGCAACCTAACTTCGACCACAAACCAATCCATCTAATTCATTTCCAACAACTTCCTCCCAACTAGCACACACCCTCTCCCTCCCTCCCTCCCTCCCTCCCTGCCTGGAAAATAAGCAACCTCAGCACAAGCAACTAAGCCCCTGCATATCCTAGACCTCCCCAGCCGCATGCCGATCGCGCGGCCGGAATTTGAGTCTCATTTCCGCCCATCCTTTCACACAATACCCATTGGATTAGAATTTAAGACCTGTGCCCTGTGACTCTCCTCGTAAATGTGTGCGCCTGACTCAGCCCTTGCCCTGAGCCCTAACATAATTGGGAGTGATTGGCGAACTAATCGTTTTACTCCGTACACTGCACCAGGTTATGTTGGATTGATGCCTTATGTGGTATCCATCCATGCATGCGCTTCGAAGGATCATACCAGAACAAAGTACACTAGTACTTTAGTTTTTGTTCTGAACATTCCTCGTTCCCACATGGTTTGATTATTAAATTCCGAGCGCGTGTTAACTAGCCTATCATTTCTTTCGTATACCAGTTAACATAACAAGATGCCGCCGCTTGGGAGCCTAAGGTCAACAAAGCCCGACACGTCTGCAGGTTTCCGCTGCCGCAGGTGTGGAGGATCGTGATCGTGTTGGTTATGTTAGGTCAGGTAGGCAGTACTAGACTAAGTACTGTGTAAGGATTACGCACTGTGGTTGTACTGCTTGATGAGTGTAACCGCTGCAGGAAATGTTTTGCGTTTGGCTCTAAACACCAGGTTCATGGATGTATGGTTTGCTTGGCAGATAGGTTACGTCAATATGCTAGGGATGCACGTGGAATATACTACGCTACATCAAAGTAGTGTTGGATGATGGCCAATAGATGTTTCATTGGTTGCAGTGTGCTCGAGTTAATGCTATTACATCTGTTTATACAGCTACGTATGGTTTCGAACCTCGATGGAACATCCAGACTAAGAAGTGATATATTCTTTATATATGCTCGATAGTATATGTAAGTACTAGAAGAAACCAGATAACCACCAATCTACACTGCTTAGTGCCACATATACTTATCTGCCACCTACGCCAGTCGCAGCGTACCAACTATACACATAACCAACAATCCGCACCAATACTTCCCATACCACACAACGTCAAAACAAGAAAATGACAATGAATACCATAAGATCAAGAAATATATCGAGTATCCACATCCAAGTCCTCCATAATTCCCACCACCAACATACCACCAACACCAAGTAACTACTTAGATAGACAGACAACAAGTAGTAACACGATGTACCCACTCCAATCCACCCAACCCTCTCCCCATCCCATAAATACCACTAAGAAAATCATGTATGTACATACCATACCTCCACCTCCACCATCACCACCAAGTTCAATAGATACATAGTGACCGACCCCATGTCATCCCCCCCTCTCTCTACCCCTCTTTTTAATCTCTACAGTCTACAACTACATCAACCTACTTTACTACCATGTACGGAGTACACTACAATTAACCGCCAACCTAACCCAGCCCCAACCACACCCTTGTTCTTAGTACTCTCCCCGGCGTAGTCAACCACCAAGTAAAACCGAAACCCCCGCCACACGGGAAGACCTAGGGGATAAGACCCCCCGAATAGCCGCCGAAGTTGATTGAATCTCATCTCATCACTATCACATTGGCATCATCCCGGCCATCATCCATCACCCCCGCCTCTGGAATTCCGGGGGGCAGATGACCGACCCTACTAAGGATAGGTATTATGGGTTGATTACTTCTTGTGTACTAGTTCAGTGGGAAGTGATGTAAGTAACCCCTCATGTACACTACCTACTTCCGTGAGTAGTATCTATCTATCTATCTCTTAGAATAGATTGTTCTGGTTCCGATCGATCACGTCGCATCTGTTCTTGTCTCGTGGAGCCCAGGCAAGACAAGGCTAGACAAGGCAAGGCAAGGCTCGTCACGCTCAGCGATGCGCCCTATCTTCCATGTCTCCGGTGGTGGTGGTGGGATGACGAAATCTGACTGAGTTATTATCTAAGAAGCATGTAGTAGTCAAGTATTTAGTTGACTACCTAGAGTATGGCTATGGCTATGTGCATGTGCATCACTACTATAAGTAAGTACTATACATAGAATAGTATAAGCCGTCACTGCCACTGCCACTACCACTACTGCATTAACCACATACTTAATTGGTACTAACTACATACATACTAACCGATATTGTAGCCTACATAGTAAACAATAGTATTGGCGCAGCACGACACACTACACTATACCCTCATAACCAAAACCCAACCCAACACAATCAAATTGAAAGAACCCCTCCGTCTTCTCTCCTGGAATTTAGGCACTCACTCACTCACTCAATCATCACTACAGCAGCAGACCACTACAGAGTACCGAGTGGACACCTCTCCCACACAAAGGACAGAGAAGTCTGCCTCCACCCAACAAATGAGCATCTGACACGCAGGCCCGAAACTCAACCCCAACTCAAAATTTTCCGACGTACTTGCGCTCGCCGCTCGGGAGATGCCCGGTTGCCCGTAAGTACTTTACTTTGTGGGTTTGTTTGGGTGGGTATGTTAGGCTGGGGTTGCTGGAGGGACCGTCAGATTGGAGTAGACGTATCGTATCATCTATCATCGATGGGAGAGGGCGGGGGTTCTGACAGATGACAGAAGGTTTACGGAGAATTTTACGCAGTAGGCTACGTAGTATCGTGATGGTATGTATGTATCGACGGATTCTGTGGAAAGTGGGAACGGATCTAGTGCGATGGGTCCGGTGGTGGGGGCTTGCTGGCTGGCGGTGGATGTTGTGGCCCGAAGGGTCAGGTTGCGATAGATACTGTGTGCAGTGTGCACCATACTGTGTGTACGTAGTGAGGAGGGTATTGCATTATGTTCATTAGATTTCGCTAATATGATTACCTCTATATTGTTATTGGTTCTGCAACTGAGGCTGGAATCGTCTCTTTGATGCACGTATCCGTCTGGTCACGTCATACAGTCATATATTCGTCCTCCGCGCGTTTGGTTTGCATCGCCTCGTGCCAGCGGAATCCCTGCTTCCGAGAGACAGAGGGCAGTGTCGGAGACATGAATGCCTCATGCTGGGAGGAGGCCCAGCTTCCAGGCGGGAGAAATGTAACCTCGCTTACGGTCCCGTTGGCGGTTGCCTGCAAGCCAAAATCAAGGGATGAGACAGCAGGAAGTCCATCCGCAGCAGGGTTCTCTGCCCAGATCTTCTCCAGCAGCTGCAGGCAGGAGAGGTTGTTAAAGAACCCAGAGTCTCTGGATAGATCTTTGCACCGTTGGCGGATAATGGCGCGATGATCGGCACGCACGCACTCAGACCCGGTGATGAATAGTGGCCACAGGAGATACGCGTCAGACTGGACAGTCATAATGTGACTCATTATGTGTTGCACAATGTTTTGGATACGAGGGTGATCGGACGGTAGGTCTGGATAGGCGAGTCGTTCACTGTACAAGATCGCCGCATGACGGAATGACTCAGAGATGTGTATGATGTCCTTCAGATTGTGAGTTGCGACCACCGGCTGGTCTGTCGGCGATGAAGGGGGCGAGATGTAGGCGTGGCTGGTTGTAAAGAGAGGCGAATCCGATTGCGATCGGTGGGGAACAAAACGCCAGGACTCAAGCTTCTGTCGGAGAGAATACCATTCCGCCCAGAACGCCGGCGGCAGCTGTGCTCCGTTACGACCACCAGGCGGCGGCGGCGGCAATGAAAATGTAAAGGGACCGGACGAAGTGGCTAGATTGTTCGATGGAAAGAACGCCATCGAGGGCGGGAGAGTAGTGGATGGCATATGGATGTCTGGTGGCGTAGATGTGCGGACTTCTTGATTTTGACTCAGAAGGTTCAAACGACCTAGCTGCGCTACGATTCTGAAAAGTCCGGCATCACATCCCGCCAGATTTTCCAGTCCCCATTCGCCGTCCGAGGCGGCGGTGATATCCAGGCAAGCACCGCGAAGCTGTACCTCGCGGTCATTGGTGGTGGCGGTCATCGTGTCAATCCATGTGAACATCCGAACAAACCATTTCAGCTCGTCCGACATGCAAGGTGAGTTGCACAGTCGGATGGCTAACAATTTCGTCACCCCCGCAAACTGCGTCTTGAATTGAGCGACCCCTGTATCACACCCATGGAATAGACAGAGGATGAGTAAGGTCGCCAGGACAGAGTCAGAAAGCCTCTGGTGCGGATCGGCCAATTCCCGATTCAAAGCAGAGACCGCCATGCCTCGATGATACTGCTCTTCCTGGGCATATTCTTCAGGCATCCTGATACCAGCCCGGTCCTGTAATGCTCCATCGGTCAAGGCTTGGTGGGCCAAGGACGACATGCGCCCCGGCAAGGTTCGCTCCGTCGCTCTCATTCCTCGTTCGCGTCGCTGTCGCAGATTACAGCTGGCCAACGTAGCGATGGCCTCTTGGAGCGATGTGCTTTGCTGCGCCAGTCGAAGAACATACGTTCGAAAAGGGTTGGTTGGACTATCGAATGCCACAATCATCGGAGCAATGACTTCGGCATAATAACTGATTAGGTATCGGAGTCGAGGTGTACGTCCCACGGAACGTGCCAGCAGTTGCTGAGACAATGATGGCGGCTGGCAAGTACTCATACGGGGTGAAACCTCGTCATAACAGGTTTCTTCATTTTGCTCATCTGGAGCATTATCATTCTGTTTCGGGGCCTGGGCTGGCCATGGACACTGTATTGGTACTGGTGTTTGTTGTGGCCCCATCCAGGTCCTTGATGGATCAGGGTTTGAAATCCATGGGGCATGGCACTGTCTCGGAGAATCGGTCTTTGTCGCACGTGAGGAATAAGAATTATAGAAATTTGGCGAAGCATGGGAATCCACCGTATAGTACTCCGGTGAGCACGCCCGGCGTTGTGAAGCAGTTGAAACCGAGACGGATCCATGCTCGGCAAGCCCAGTGGCTGAAGAACGCTGCTTATCATGTCGCCGCTTTTCTGCGGCTGTGTCAAGAGACGGTTGCGATTTCGACGCTGTCCGTGGTCCTGTCACACGGGAAAGCTTCGGAGGTGCGACCGCAGGCTGTGCCCCGGTCACGGGGAGGGACAACCCTCGAAGCTTTCCTCGACTGGCAACTCCTACGCCCCATGTCAACGCGGTCTTGTACCCCGCGCAATTGCGGGCGCTGTCCAGGCACTGGGAACAATATGGGCGACGACGGTCGCAGGGAGTGCCCTGTCGGGCGCAAGTAAAGCAATCATCAGCCGCTTGGCTTACGACCGTCCTCCTACGCCTTTTGCGGGGAGCTGGGGCGGAGACCGGCGGAGTTTTGCGGATTCGAGGCTTCGAAGTAGATTCCATAGCCGGATCCGACGCAGAGGTTGGCCAACTGCTAGGGTGCAGATACTAACTCGCCCAGGCAAGCAATGTGGAGATAACCCGGAATGCGGGGTCCCATAAGTGGTGCGAGGAGTTGACACGGCGGGCAGTAGCAGGCTAGCTAGTGGATTAGAATAGGCCAGGCAAAAGCAGGGCCAACACGATGTTGGGGGGTGGAAGATAATGTATCTAGTCGTCGGGATGAACAGGTCAGGAAAAAGCAAGAAAAGAAGAGCTAACGTCGGAGAGGGAGGGGGGCCACGCTTACGGTCGTTTATAATCGAATCACATCGGAAATCGATCTAGTTCGCGCAGGAGAGAGAAAGCGGATTTGGAGATGATGATAAGCGACGATCGTTGCGGCATCACCCGCCGTTAGGAGAGCAGCGCCGGAGATTAAGCCAGTATAAACTCGTTAGCGCCGAGTAGTCGAGGCTCAGCAGCCAACCGGTGAGTGGCGAGTGTCTTCGAACCCGCATTTTAAAGCGATCTTACTTGATGGCGGCCGAGTGTCGGCGAAATTGAGCCACCGTTTCAGATGGACCCAGAGGAGATGGGACAGTTCATAGCCGGTGCAGGATTAACTGGGTGCACAGATGAAGTTGGTTGTTGAAGATGGCGGCAGCACTCAAAAATGAAGGAGGAAGAAGGACTTGGCTGCCCCCAAATCTACGGCCGGAATAGGACTAGCGGGAGGTGTGCTTTGTTCAAGTTCGAATGTAACAAAAACTCAACCAGCAATTCAACTTCCTACTACCAACCCTACTTAACGATCAACTCTCCTCGATGCGAGGGCATTCTCATTCTTCATTCATTCCTCTCCCTTCTCCTCTTAAGTCTCCCCTCCAGTCGATCCAAGATTCCAGATTCCCCTTAACTTCTTAAGGTTTCGGTAGACCAAGCTAATGGGATCCACTGGTGAACTTTCCCTTCCACTTTCCACTCTGTCGGTTCGGTGGAACTGGCCCTTCCGCGGAGAGGAAGGGCCACATGCAGTCTTCAGTCTTCTCCTCCCCTTTTCCATTGCTACGGGTCGGGGTGGTGCCTTGGAACCCCTAATGGATCACTCGGGATGACTCCGACCACGAGGATGGAATAGGAAACTCCCTCGCACTTGGTATATTGGGATTGCCACCGGATGAAGATCGTGGGAAGCCAACCGGAGCCACGGCATACTCAATTATGCACCGCGTTATTAATAGCCGCGGGCAACGTAAGTGCGCGTTCTGCCACCGCCTGCTGGAAAAAGCATCCACGGTGCCTCCATCGCCTCCCCATCGCTGCCTGCTGAGCCACGTTGGACAAGCCTTCGTGGCCGCTGGAAACTTTACCTTGCGATATTCTAGCGTTTCCAGACCCTGCCAACACAGCCGTGCTTGATTGTCCCTTATCCTGACTACCGCGGCTTCTCCACCGCCATTCGCATTGCCCGTCGAACGAATCCGCCTCCCGCTGAATCTGGACTCGACCGAGCTTGCCAGCCATGTTGATGGATTGCTAAAGCGATCTTCTCTGATTTTATCTGAATTGTCCACCCTGCCGGCCGACCGCCGAAGAGTACTCCCTCCATACACAGCGAGCTGGTAGAATCACCTCGAACCTTCAAAGCTATATCTCTATACCCCTAGCTCTGCCCCCGGGCAGCGAACATAGTCATGCCGGTTCTTCGACCAGGTAAATTGAAATCGATAATCTCGGCCACGGGTGCGCTGCTACTCATTTGCACCGTGTATATCTATTGGGCCCCGCCTCCCGCCTCAGTAGTCCCTAGCACCGCCTTCGAGGTCCCTCTCGCCGAACGTCAGAATGCCTTTTGGAAGGTCTTGAACCCGATATTGCAAGGACATGCCCCAAATACTCCTACTCCAAAGCGCCTGGCGGACGTAAGCGCAGTTCACTTCAATGCTACGACGACCGATTCGCGACCTGATTTGACCATAATCGAGGATGGCGATTTACAAGCGATGGAAGAGGCTCATGCGGGTTATATTGAGGAGTGTCGCAAGTCTGAACGGCTGCGACCAATACATACTCCGGGCACGCGTGGCATAGTGTCCACAGCGGGGGCTTCCTATTTTCCAGTTTTCTTGTCCTCTCTACGAATGCTTCGACGACTGGGGTCAACGTTGCCGGTGGAGGTGTATATGAAGGATAAAAGCGAATATGAAAAACAAATCTGCGATGAGATCCTTCCGGATCTGGGTGCGCGCTGTCTTGTTCTCTCGGATATCGTTGGCAAGGGAGCCATTGAGCATTATCAGCTCAAAATCTTCGCAGTTCTATTCTCCTCGTTTGAAGAGGTTATCTGGATGGACGCAGACTGCTTCCCGCTCCACAAGCCTGAAGTTTTGCTTGAGTCGGAACCATTCAGCTCCAAGGGGTTGGTCACCTGGCCGGACTTTTGGATCTCCTCGGCGTCCCCGCTGTACTTTAAAATCTCGCGGCAAGAAATGCCAGCGCTGTCGGAGCGCGCGTCATCGGAAGCGGGCGTCTTTCTGGTATCAAAGAAGACACATCAGTTGACCCTGCTCCTCGCTGCTTACTACAACTACTACGGTCCGTCACATTATTTCCGGCTATTATCGCAAGGCGCACCCGGCGAAGGCGATAAGGAGACCTTCCTCCATGCTGCCACCGCCGTCGGAGAGCCTTTCTACGCTGTGAGCGAGCGGGTTCAGGCAGTCGGTCACACGAAGCCGGGCGGTATTGCGGGTTCTGCGATGGTGCAGACTGACCCGGCCGAGGATTATGCGTTGACCAGTGCGAACAAATGGCGCGTGAAAGATGAGTCCGTGGCCAAGGCCCCCCATGCTTTCTTTATCCACGCCAACTACCCCAAGTTCAATCCTGGTGAAAAAGTATTTGGCATGAAGTGGGAGACCACGCCGACGCTCCGCCCCGATGGTACGGACGGACGGGCATGGCTGGCGGCAGAATCTACCGTTCAGCGATTTGGATACGATGTTGAGAAAGCGTATTGGGAGGAGATCAAAAACATCAGTTGCGACCCTGCCATCAGCTTCCGGACATGGGAGAGGAAGGATGAAATCTGCGACAGGGTGGAGAGCTACTGGGCGAATGTGTTCGCCGAGCCGCATGATGACGACCCCAAGTTCACTGACGAAAGCTGAATTGGCCGCATTATACTGCGATGCTGAGCCTTGAGACATCACTGGGTAACCAGTTATGCCATGCTGTTTATGATCGACACGGTTGCTTATCAGCAGTATTGTTAATAATCTTCTGTTCTTTTTCTGGTTACATATTCATACCATTGGGTGTATAATATTGGTTGATGCCATGGCATCCCAACTTTTTGTTTGTTGATACCCTGGCGCTCCGAACGAAGAACCGAAGTATAACTCCAGTTCTATAACTTCAATAAAACACACACGGGCTAGTAATATACTACACACTCTGAAAAATAAATACTTGTAGTGAAGTAGAAGTTAACCATTGTAAATAATAGTGTCATGCTATCGCCCCAGGCGTCAGCCATTCATGCAGTCATTCGAACAGGATATAGTATAAAGCTTTTCCATCCGTCCTTCCTTCCAAATCCCAATCATTACATCATTTATTTCTTGATACCCTTCTCACGCAAGCGCTGCTCATCCTCAGCCTGCAATTCGGCATCGATCTGAGCACCCTTGGAAGGCTGGTTGCCGTGCACCTTGGCCTGCAGACAAAAAGTCAGCATCCTGGAAATTTGATCAACTGGGTAAGAGGACATAAGAAACATACCGGCTTAGTAGGATCCTGCTTGCTGAGCTCAGCCTCAGGGTTCTGGACAAAGTTGTGGTGGTGGTCGCTCTCGGGCTTGCGTTCTTGCGAGGCAAGCTTGTTGCCGATGGAGCGCTGGTCCTCTGTTTAATTCTCGTTAGTACTATGTCTCCCGAGGGGATGGAGGATAAGAGGGGGAAAGAAGGAAGGGGCATGCATACTCGAATCAAGGTTCTTGTGGCTGTTCTTCTGACCCTCTGCGTAGCGGTTCTGCTCGTTGATCTCAGACTGGGGCACGTTGCGCTGGTCACCGGCTTCGTAGACGGCGCGGCTGCCGACGCTGGATTGGCCTGCTCCGGAGGAAGACATTGTGTATGTTTGTGATAGGAGAATTGAGTTGATTTCTGTGAAAAGGGGATAGAATCGAGGAGTGTTTGTTGATTGTTGATTGTTGTTGTAGAGTTACATTTGCTACGAGGACGAAGAACAGCGTTTATATAGAGTCAGGGTTGGGGGAGAATCTGGGTGATAGTTGTGATGTCATATGGCAGTCGCTGAGATCATAGTACCCATGGACTGTGTGGGTCAAAGCCAAAGCTGGGCATGCTTCTGCTTGTCCCTTGGCTGGAACAAGCCCTCATCATATTCTTCTTCGATGATGTAGTTGGGTCCATTCTGGTGTTGCATTTCGGTGAAGTCTTGTGGTGTGCAAGCTAGTTTGTACCTGACTGAGTAATGGGGTGGTGGTGAACTCAGCTATGCATCCTTACATAACCGATATCGGCCGATTAGTTCCATTTCCGGCTAACATGGGGAAAGAACAGATACACGCGACTCACCTACACGACTAAGGATTAATGCATCTACAACGGGGCATAATGGCCCGCAACCCTTCGCGTCTGCTGTATGCGTCTCGTAGTCTGCAATTGACTACTAGTAGACGGCAATTCGGCACCAGTGTCTCCTCCATACTACCCCTCCTCTCCCCGCCCCGATACACGCCGCTCCGATCATCCTTAATATCATCAACACCACCATCTTCTTCTTCCCCTCTCACACATACTACTACTCCATCGACTCCCCTCCGAACCCTCACCACCAAAACTACCTCCAAAATGGCCACAACCACCACCCTCGACCCCCAATACGCCCAACTCTTCCAAACCCTGGAAACCCAATTCCAGACTACCACCCTCCCCCACGACAAATGGTACATCCTCGCCATCTCCACCCTCGTCGCAAACCCGGACCCCGAACGCGCCGACCAACTCTACCTCTACCTAACCTCCAAACCTGAATACTCGACCCCATCATCCCGCCAACACCTCATCCGGCGCATCCGCGAAGCCCTCATCAAAAGCGTGATAATAGTCGGGGTGTGCAAACCCATCGAAGCCATCCTCGCCATCAGCAAGCTCGAAGCGCCCGAAGACAAAGACTACACATTCACCCGGGAGGGCTGGCAATGCGACGAGGCGAATCACGAGCGCGGTGTGGCGTGGTTGGAGAAGCTGTATGCGCGGAATACATCGGGCACGTTGGATTTGTTTGCGGCGCATAAGGATTTCGCCTGGTTGTCGAAGGAGATTACCTACGGGTTGTTTTTGAGTGATCGGGGAGTGTTGGATGATTTGGATACCCAGTTGGTGGTGTTGCCGGCGATTATGAGTCAGAATTTGAGGATTGAGACGCATTGGCATATTAGGGGTACCAGACGGTTGGGGGTCAGTTTGGAGGATGTGAGGGTTTTGTGTGAGGGCGTTAAGCATGTTGCGGGGTTTTATGGGAGGGTGTTGGATAAGGTCCCTGGTGTGGAGGAGGTGGAGGGGGATGTTTGAGGGGGGAGGGGTTTGAGGGTTGGTTGGTTGTATATAGTTTGTACTTAGGTGGGGATAGACTTAGAGGGTGGTATATATTACTACTACTGTGGTAGATGGAGTATAGTGGCCGGGATTAGAATAGAGGTCATACTACAGATAGAAAGAGGGAATGAAACGCTATCACAGTTCTTTACAGGCTATGTTGATGACATTTCTTGACCACGGTCAGAAGAAAACATCCGAGAGTTAAAGAGTGTTATGTGAAGACTGTTACAATTCCATTATGGTAATTCAGGATTATTCTTGAGAAACTGTTCACAGTGAGAAAGATCAGGCCGCCTCATGTAAATAATCCCGGTGGTAGTGAGGAGAATGACCACAATAAATGATGATTATGATAAAGACAAGGCAACCCATTTACTTCTCCATTTCGGATGAAGTTCTTTCTTCTAGGTTCTATATGATCTACCTCTATGCACATCGAAATAGTGGTCTCTCATCTAGTGGATGTAGACAGACTATCATCGGGCATCTTGAATCCTTCAAACCAAGTCCAAGGATGGCTCCCTCCGCAAGTCATGGTAGTCTTTACCGCGTCTTATCATTTAATGGAAGCGATCAAATAACGCTGCCGTAGGTTTGTCAGTACGCACCTTAGCTGCGCTCAGGAAATTCTGAAGATGCTTTATGTAAAGTATCAGACGATCCCCGTCTGCCTTTTGGTGTTTCATTAGTGAAGTATTTATAAATCCTGAGCTCAATCCGTTTATTAAGATCAAGAAAGAGGCCCTATTAAATCTGTTTACAACACTTTGCCAATCCGTTCCTCAATCCTCCGCCAGTTGTTCGCGGCTACTTCAGCCGTGTCGTAGAAATTCTTGGCCCTTGTCTGCATTTCATTCCATTCAGGGATATGATTTTCTTGATAATATCTTAGGAATACCGGCTTACTGGCCAGCATCGAAACAGCGATTGCGCTTGCCCCATTATTGATATGATTAAACCAGTTTACTGATTTTGAAAAACCCGATGTACAGTACTAACCGCTCACCTCTGTTCGCGGATTCGTACTCGCTCGAGAACTTTTCGGCTCTTTCTATCAAGGGATCAATCATGGTGGCAGCTGCAACATCTGTCGACAGCTGGCCATCGTGGACTAAATCCTGACGTATTTGGGTTAAGGTGAGACTAGAAGTAGTCTTATCTTCATTCTGATGGGCGCCCTTCCGCTTTCTCGACCGAGATGCCATTAATAGTTGGATAATACTAAGTGCGTTAGTATCGGCGATTGCTTGCTATCGTCAAGGTTCTCTCTGTTTTCGAAAGGGTTGAGTCAAGAATGTCATTTTGATGTATTCAAAACCCTAAGAATAGGTCACACCATGTCATCTGAATGACTTCACTAAATGGCTACTATAGATACGTGCGGTATCTATATCCATAACCTTATTCTTTTCGAGTTATAATCAAACCCGGAGCCATCTGCATTTTCAAAGTCTTCTTAACAACTCGCGGAGACAATGACAATGTTTGTCCATATCAAATATGTTGTTTATGCTACCCCTCGGTACGGGATTTCCAACATCGCTGTTTCACTTGCAGGTACTGGATTTTCTCGAGCACCTTCCATTCTGTAGTCCAGGTTTGTAACTGTGGAGAAGTTTCTTTAATGGTGCGTGGAATTTATCCATTGGTATATTATATATAGTGATATATTAACCCGGATATGTTTGCTATGGTTGCCCATAAGTAACTGCCTATTTAGTGGTAGTGGCTGTGATAGTGTATTCGTTATACTATGTATCATAAAAGCATTGAAATATTCCAAGTTATATAGAGATTGTTCTCTCTGTAATAGTATTATGTAGATCATTGGAGTTGGGAAGATTAGAATGATCAAGCAAGGTCGCAGGACGAGTTTACATAGTAGGTAAGGGTTGGTGAAGTGCCTGTCTACATTGCAGTATTCATTAGTATATATTCCCTCCAATAGGTAGTAGATGCTGGCTCATTGAACAGTTGTGTGAATTCCTGTTTGTGGTCTTGATAATATTAAGGCATTTTAGGGAATGCGTCTTTTGAAGCAGTGAAATACGTAACAGATTTTCCACCCCAGGAAACTAGGTATTAAATGAATCAAAAAGCAATGCAATGATATACCAGGACTATATTCACCGTCCCATGAAGGTAGACGATTAGATCTCTGCTATCGATAAGCTATCGATAATCAAAAGCGGTTAGCGGAAGATCAACTTTTGTCGGCCGCGCCGCCCGACGAACCTCCGCGAACGGAAATCCCACTTTAACTCCTCCCAGCACAATCCCCTCAAACCCACACCACACATATACCCCCAACATACACAATGGTCAAGCGCAAGGAACTCAAAGACAATGATGTCGAGATGTCGGGGACGGATCCCCGCGTCGACGGCGACGACTCCGACGAGGTACATCCATACAAACCAATACCCCCCTCCAACAGCATATACAAGCCCAGCCAAGTCAAGCAACAATTCAAAATAAATTAACAAAGTACTAAAATTAGGACATGGACATGGTCAACGTCGACTTCGAATGGTTCGATCCTCAACCAGCCGTCGACTTCCACGGTCTGAAGAACCTCCTCCGTCAGCTCTTCGACACCGACGCCCAGATCTTCGACATGTCCGCTTTGGCCGATTTGATCCTCTCGCAACCTCTGCTTGGTTCGACTGTTAAGGTTGATGGGAATGAGTCGGATCCGTATGCGTTCTTGACGGTGTTGAATCTTCAGGAACATAAGGTGCGTCTCCGCCCCGCCTCGACATAACGAACAAGGAGGGGAGTCTAATGAAAGCATTCAGGATAAACCCGTCATCAAAGACCTCACAGCCTACCTCCAGCGCAAAGCCAACGCCACACCGACACTCGCGCCCTTGGCCCAACTTCTCTCCCAAACGCCCATCCCGCCCATTGGACTGATCCTGACGGAACGTCTCATCAACATGCCTGCGGAGGTCGTACCGCCCATGTATACGATGTTGCAAGAGGAGATCGACTGGGCGATCAAGGATAAAGAGCCGTACAGCTTCACGCATTACTTGGTTGTGTCGAAGACGTATGAGGAGGTGGAGTCGAAGCTAGATGCGGAGGAGTCGCGGCCGCAGAAGAAGAAGAAGAAGGCTGCGGGTGGGGAGAAGGCCGAACGGTTCTTCTTCCATCCTGAGGATGAGGTTCTGGAAAGGCATGCCGTGTGTGTTGGGCCTGTGGAGTATACGCATAAGGCTGAAGAGGGGTTGTCGGATTCGAAGCGCGCGTTCCAGGATCTGGGTATCGTGACGAAGGGAAGCCTCATTCTGTTGGAGGCGAGTAAGTTGGATGGGGCGGTTAAGGATATGGCGGAGTATTTTAAGCCATAGATTTTCTGGTGATTACGATGATTATATGTTATAGACACCCAAAAAGTTGGTTTGTTCTTTGGTATTTTGTCCGTTTCTATCATTCCATCTTGGTTAATTCTATAGAAGTTCGTCACGGCGTTTCGTGTTATGTTCCGTGTATATAATGGCA